CTCCTATCTCCCGAATCAGTCAGTCCATGAGCCTGGTTCTGGTGGCTCTGTATTTGGACTCTCACTTAGTCCTGTCTGTTTGTCCTGCTTTTCTAGCCTATTTCTGATGGATCGGGTTGGTTTCTTGTTGAACTCTCTCCTTGCCACTTACTTAAAGGGTCCCCCTCTTATTGCTGCCTTTGTGTTTGCGCTTGGCATCAGTGTCCAGTTAGACAGACTGTCCATCCGCTGAGCAGTGCCCGGTCCACACCCAGCTTCGCCTCGCCCTGGCCGCTGGGTGCTCCTTTCCTTTGTTCCACATTTTGATGGTGTAAACACGTTGTTTACATTGTAATAAGATTACAGTTGCTTGATTCCCACAGTGCTTGTTTAGATTTTCTTTGTGCTACCAGTTTCTTCACTGGTCTGTCCCTCCTGTGTGTCAGATCCTCTCCTGGAGAAGTTGTACTCTAGGACGGCCGTCTGAGATGGCCTTGAGGAAAGAGAGTCTTCACTCTTGGCCTCCCTGGCAGAGTCTGGGGAGTGTGGTGGTGCAGCTTCGCCTCGGTCCCGCCAGTGCATGTCCTACTCCCCCTGCTGTCCTGCGAGACAGTGTCGCATCACTCCTCATTGCTGTTGCAGAGTCTCTGTTCTGCTGTCTTGCAGTTTCAGTGCTGTGTCCCAGGTGAGGGTTTCTTTGTTTCTCTAGCCTCTTCTTTAAAAAAAAAAAAAAATGTTATTAATTTTTTTCAAAGAGAGAGGAGGAAGAGGGCAAGATATAGAAACATTGATCGGCCACCTCCTAAATGCCACCTACCTGGGGATCAAGCCCACAACCTGAGCATCTGGGAATTGAACCAACAACCTAATGATTCTCAATCCATTGAGCCACACTAGTTGGGCTCCAGCCTCTTTTATATGTTATGCTTCTTAGAATTGTGCATAAATGTCCGTCATTAGTTCTGGAAAATTATATCATTTCTGTAAATCTGAAACTATTCTAAAATCGAATAGCTTTGGCTGGTGGGCTCAATGATTAGAGCGTCAGCCCTCAATCCAAAGTTCAATTCCTGACCAAGCTTCACATACCTGATTGCAGGTTTGATTCTTGACCCCAGTTAGGTCACATGCGGAAAGCAACCAATCAATGTATCTCTCTCACAACCGTGTTTCTCTCCCCCACCCTTCCACTCTCTCTAAAAATCAATGGAAAAAAATATTCTCTGGTGAGGATTAACAAAAATAATAATATAAATAAATAAATAAATAAATAAATAACAAGTAAATTCCATCTGCATGCCCAGAGTTCTGTCTCCCATCCCAGTGCTCCTGTCGGCGTGCACATGCAGGCCACCGCTCTTTTTCACATAATGCAATGCCATATTCATACTCTCTTTTTGCTTGACCATGTTTTAGTTGCTCTTTCATTGCTAAAACTAATTTTTAAAAGTTTATGTTTGGTAATCGTAATACTTAAAATCCTTACAGGGTTGAAACTGTTATTTTATGTTTGTTTGTTTCTGCTGACTCACTTATGGTGGCTTGTTTCCTTCAAGCTTGATTTTCTAAATTATTCTAATATATAAAAACCCAGGATCCATAACATCCAGAACAACCAAAGGCTCGACCCACTGGAAGTCAGTCTTGCAGTCAGTGCTAGGTTGCCATGGCGACCCAGCACTGACTGCCAAGGGGGATGCAGACAGACCTGGAGAGAGAGGCCGGGTCTGATCCTCAGCCTCTGTGGCAGCTATTTATCAGCCATTGCCTCTCTCTTTCTCTCTGGGCTTCACCAGCAGCCATGCCTCTATTTCTCTCCAAGCCTCCACAGGGGCTGTTGATCAGCCCTCCTCTCTGATCAGGCCTTGAGATAGGCCCAGAGATGCTGACTGGCATAGAAACTGACCAATCAGAACCAAATCTGGGTGAACTGTGAGGAGCCAATGGCTGCCTAGTAGGCGGAGCTTTTGACATTGACTGGCATGGAAACCGACCAATTAGAACCAAATTGGACCTCAGGGCAGGACAGTTGGGGATGAGGTCAGGCCTGCAGGGGAAGGCAGTTAGGGGTGATCAGGCAGGCAAGGGAGAGCAGTTAGGGGTGCGATCAGGCCATCAGGGGAGGGCAGTTGGGGCTCTATCAGGCCAGCAGGAGAGGGCAGTTAGGAGTGATCAGGCAGGCAGGCAGAGGGGTTGGGGCAATCAGGCAAAGGTAGTTTAGGGCATATCAGGCAGACAGGCAGGTGAGCGGTTAGGAGCCAGCAGTCCCAGATTGTGAGACAGATGTCCGATTGCTGGTTTAGGCCCACAGGGATCAGGCCAAAATCAGCAGTTGGACATCCCTCAAGCGGTCCCCAATTGGAGAGGGTGCAGGCTGGGCTGAGGGAACCCCCCCCCCCATGCACGAATTTTGTGCACAAATTTCATGCATTGGACCACTAGTCTATATATTTAAAAGCCTAAGTGACCAAGCGACTGTTTGGTCACTATGATGTGCACTGACGACCAGAGGGCAGATGCTCAACACAGGAGCTGCCCCCGGTAATCTGTGCTCCCACAGGGGGGGCGCCACTCAGCTTGACGGGCACCAGATGTCAGGCTCAGAGCTGGTGAGTGCAGCTGCAGAGGTGCAAGGCTCTCCCGCCTCCACGGGAGCAGCACAGCACCCGGCCCAGGCTCAGGCCCCTCCTCAGCTGCCTACCGCTTCGCTCTCTACTACATCCCTCTGGAGATGTCAGACTGCCATTTCAGTCCAATCCCCACAGGCCTGCAGGACTTGGGCCGAAACTGGCAGTCTGACATCCCCTGAGGGGTCTGGATTGCAAGAGGGTGCAGGCAAGGCTGAGGGACCCCACAGGTGCATGAATCCATGCACCAGGCCTCCAGTCGGCTCATACTTGGTTTTCTTCACTGCGGCAATACCAGTGGCTTACTGGGATGCCTTCCTACAATGCCTGAGCCTCTGCTGCATGTGGAGTTCCAGCTGACCTGGCCGGCTTCCTGGGCTCAGGCCTCACCCCACAGCATGCCCAGGGCTCTGTCTCCCAGCCCAGTGCTCCTGTCGGTGTGCACATGCAGGCCACTGCTCTGATTTAAACTTTTCTTTTTCTCACTGCTCACCATTTCCTCTGGGGTTTTGTTTTGTTTTATTGTATACTGTTATATGGGTGAGAACAGGCTTGATAATTTCTTGAGAACATAGTAATTCTTTGAAAAGTGCATTGGTTTTAATTTATCAATTCTTAATTGATTGCATTAAAGCAGAAAGACCTTTCAAAATACCTATCCACCAGACTGCTGGAAGTGGAGACCCTTGGCTGTCCATTCTCTCCTCAGGTTCATGGCTTCCCCTGGTGTTCCCCCGGGAATGTGCAGGTGGTGCACTTGCAGGAGGTGTCACCTGAGCCCACTGGCTCAGCTGCAGGAGTGGACTGAGAGGTTCCAGAACTGGGACGCTGTTAATTAAATCAGTTTCTCAAATAGTGAGCGGCTGTTTCTCTTGTCCTTTTACACACACAGCATGACGTGCACACACACAGATACATAACACATGCAACTTGGAATGAGTGAAGAGAGTATAATGATTTTAGAGTGTTGTTTCCCTGAATTTGGAGAAGGCTCTAAATGGAGTGTGGAAAAGTCTACAAACAGGGAAAACAAGATCGACATTAATAGTCATTAATATTTCTCCATCATGCCAGGACCTTCACTTTATTTTCAGTAGTTAAGAGTATATGAAAGGTTAGCCTTTAAATATCTGTCCTGCACTGTGCATATAAGCTGATAAGCTCTTTGGTTTTCTCTTCTCATCCCTCCAACCCCACCTCAAGGTGTGTCCGTCTGTTCCAGGCCCCCCGTGCTTCAGGTCTTATTTTGCTGGTCACTTCATTGTGTTCATTAGATTCCACAGATAAGTGAGATCCTGTGATATTTGTCTTTCTCAGATTGTCTTATTTCACTTGGCATAATGTTTTCCAGGCCCATCCATGTTAGTGAAGACACGGGTGTGGGGGGCATCAAGGAGCTGGGAGGAGGGGATTAGAGGAGTGGGGGCAAATGGGAGACATCTGTAATACTATCAACAATAAAAAATATATTAGTGACCAAAAAAATTGTGTTAAAAAAATAACAGTCACGCAGAAGAAAGATGAAGTAGCTCTGCTTTGTATTTATTTAAAAGATAAAAATGGGGGTGGAGAAGTGAAGTAGGACTTGCAAAACAGAATCTACAAAAAGAAACAATGCAAGACCTGGCCAGCGTGGCTCAGGTTGACGTCGTCCTGTGCACCCAAGATCATCAGTTCGATTCTGCTCAGAGCACATGCTCAGGTTCGGGTTCCATCCCAGGTCGGTGCATGCGGGAGGCAAATGGCGTTTCTCTCTCCCTCTCCCTTCCGCTATCAAATCAATAAAAACATTTTTTTTTTAAAAAAGAAAGAAAGATGCAAGATTGACTGGGGACATGACTATTAGTGCAGCACAATATAGACCTGAACTCGACCCCATGTGTGAGAATGACAACAAATGGCATTGCTGGGACGGTTGATGCAATAGAGTATATATTAGGTAATAGTAATATACTACTTACATTCCTGAACTTATCATTGTCTATCATTATTTGAGAGAATATTTTTATTAGGAAATGCACACAGTTTTAAAGGGTATGGAGCAAACTACTGAGGTGATTCAGGAATACATACATGAATAAATAGAATATATCATAAATGGACAAATGAACATGTGACCCTGGATCCTCTCTCACATAATTATTATATGAACACTGAGTCACAGTGACTCAGACATAGTTCATTGGCCATACTCGCCTGTAATGCTTACAGTACTAAGTCTCAGTTCTAAACAGTGGGCAGCTGACTGTATCAGCATGGGATGGGTTGATAGTATTGTATCAGGTGTGTTTTCTTAATTGGTTTGACTAGCTTTAATCATATTGAAAATTACTATTTCTTGTTTAACACATGAATAAATTGAATTTTTTATAGGTTTAAGCTGAATTTTGGGACATGGCCACTGCTTCCCCAAGGTCTGACACTACTAATAACCACAATGGAAGGTTACAGTTACAGGTAACTGGTAAGTTACTTTCATAATAGTGTAAAATAATGGTCCCAGGTAAATCTTTTTTTTTTTAATCTGAATTCAGCAAATGTATTCCATAAGAATCTTTTCTTTAGATTCATGCTATAGTATATTTGTTGCAACAGGCCTCTGTGGTAGACACCCTCTAACGGTGTTTTATTTGTTCAGTAAGTACTTATGGAACCTGTGCTGGATGTGGAGAAGATATGTCCTCTTGGTAGGAGAATTTGGGTACTGGAACTAGCATCATTGAGTTGGCCGTTAAATGATTATTTGGATAGAGAAGGAAGCTGAAGGCCTTCTTCATCCATTCAGTCATTGGGCAAATATTTGTTAAGTAGAGTTACACGTGTGGAAATGCAAGCCCTAGTTCTCCAGGAATCTGTGGGGGACAGTTACCATGCAGAGTGATGGTTACCTGGAAGCAGTGAGGACCTGGAAGAAGGTGTCTGAGGTCTGCGTGGGATTGCAGGGGCCTATGGACATACAGAATGTGAAGAGAATGACTCACAGAGGGTGACACTTGAATTTCCCTTGAATTTCCGCAGGAGTAATCAGAGTTCATCTCCAGTTAGGTTGGCAGGAGAGAGCATTCGAGGGAACAGCATTTGCAAGAGCATGGAAGAGCTTTGGTTAGGGGGCTTCACATAATTCATTTCTGCTAGTTGGAATGCATGATCCAAAGAAGAATGGTCCTTAAGCCAGCAGTTTTACTTCTAGAAGTTTATTTTGTAGACATTGATATTGCTTACATAATTATAAACACTAGTTTATAATTTAGAAAGTATTATATAATTTTCATAATTATAATGTATAATTTACATAATTATGTTTATATTTAATTATATAAATAATATAAATTTCTGCAAGGTAATTTCTTATGAATAATGTATTTATAGTTTGTAATATATATGTTATATATAAATATGTGTATGTATAGAGTTTTTAGCATATGTTATGTAAACATTTATATAAATTATTTATAAATACACTATTCCACTCAGTGGAATTCTAAGTAGACAATAAAATGAAAGAAATGAGTATGTGTACCAGTAGGAGCCATTTTCTCGGAGAATATTGTTAATTGAAAGAGCAGGGCATGGAATAGTGTATGACGAGCTACCACATGGATGTAAAACAGATGGGGGGGGTGCAGCTCTGTCCTCAGCCATTAGAAGATTTGCCTTAGGAGGGTCTGAGTCAGGCAGGGTAAGAGGAGATATCCTGTGATTCCCATGGCACTCATTACTGTGAGGTTAGTTGTTTCTAGTTTAAAATGAACAGGTTCTTGTCTTAGAGAGCCAAGCACAAATCCTGAGTTTGTGCTGATATCATGGTAGCAGAAAACAACCAATCAGAACAGAAAAAAATAAGAATTCAAGAAAATGAGGATAGTTCAAGGAGTCTCTGGGACAACATAAGGCATAACTACATCTACAACAGAAGGAGAAAAGAGAGAGCAGTGGCTTAAGAACTTATTTGAAGAAATAATGACTGGAAAACTCTATGACCTGGTAAAAGAAAAAGAAAGTGCAGACTCCTAAACAGGATGAATCCAAAGAGACCTAAATATATCATGATAAAATGCCAAAGGTTAAAGACAAAGAAAGAATCTTAAAAGCAGCAAGAAAAAAAGCAGTTCGTTACCTAAGAAAGGAGCTCCCATAAGACTCAGCTGATTCTCACCAGAACCTTGCAGGCCATAAGAGAGTAGCAAGACATATTCAACTGATGAATACCTAGCCAGGACCTATAACCAAGACTGCTCTACCTAGCAAGGCTGTCGTTTACAATTGAAGGACAGATACATAGCTTCCCAGAAAGAAAAGCTAGAGGAGTTCACCACCACCAAACAAGTATTACAAGAATTGTTAAAGTCTTGAAAAAGAAGGAGGGGTGAAGGAAGGGGAAGAAGAAGGCTAAAAAATGTGAATAATAAAATGGTAATGCTACAAACCTATCAACAGTTACTTTAGATGTAAATAGAATGAGTGCCCCAGTCAAAAAGACATGCAGCAGCTGACGGGATAGGAAAACAAGACCCTTACACGTGTGGAAATGCAAGCCCTAGTTCTCCAGGAATCTGTGGGGGACAGTTACCATGCAGAGTGATGGTTACCTGGAAGCAGTGAGGACCTGGAAGAAGGTGTCTGAGGTCTGCGTGGGACTGCCCCACTTCAGACCCAAAGACATACCCAGACTGAAAGGAAAGAGATGGAAAAAGACATTTCATATAAATGGAACAGGAAAAAAAAAAAAAAAAAAAAAACTTGTAACAATACTTCCATCAGACAAAATAGACTGGAAAACAAAGACTACAAGACAAGGAAGGACCCAGTAACTCCATTTCTTGGTATTTACCCGGGGAAACCCAAAACACTGATTCAAAATACCTACGCACCCCTGTGTTCATTGCAGCATTTACAACAGCCACGTGAGTGCCCATCAGTAGGTGAATGGATAAGGAAGAGGTGCTACATATATACAACGGACTATGGCTCGGCCATAAAGAAAGAATGAAATTTTGCATCTGTAGTAGCATGGATGGATCTAGAGGATATTATGCTGAGTGAAATGGGTCAGACACAGAAAGGTAAAAGCTATGTAATTTCACTTATTTATGGAATCTAAAAAGCAAAATAAAGGAACAAACCCAGACACGGTAATATTTTGATGGTTGCCAGAATTCAGGCTCATTGGGGACTAAATGAAAAGGGGAAGGAATTAAGATGTGCAAATTGCCAGTTATAAAAAGTCATGGGGATATAAAATATAGGAAATATGTCAATAATATTGTAATAAGTATAATATGTATGGTGTCAGATCGGGTGATCACTTCGTAAATTATATAAATGTATAATCACTATGTTGCACACCTGAAACTAATATATTTTGTGTCATCTGTAACTGAAAATAAATTATTTTTAAAAAAGAAAGTAAGTTACTATAGTTGACCCTTGAACAATTTGAGAGTTAGGAGCACCAATCTCCTGAGTAGCTAAAAATCCAAGTATAACTGGGTGTGTTTTATATATATATATATATATATATATATATATATAGAGAGAGAGAGAGAGAGAGAGAGAGAGAGAGAGAGAGACACATCAATTTGTTGTTTTACTTATTTGTGTGTAATTGGTTCATTCTTTTTTTAAATATATTTTTATTGCTCTCAGAGAGGAAGGGAAAGATAGAAACATCAATGATGAGAGAGAATCATTGATTGGATGCCTCCTGCATACCACCTACTGGGGATCGAGCCCACAACCCAGGCATGTTGTCCTTGATCAGAATCGAACCCGGGACCCTTCAGTCCACAGACCAATGCTCTATTCACTGAGCCAAACTGGCTAGGGCCTTTGGTTGATTCTTGTATGTTCCTTGACTGGGGCTCAAACCCACAACCTTGCTGTATTGGGACAATGCTCTAAGTCAGAGTTGAGGAACCTTTTTTCTGCCAAGGTCTATTTGGATATTTATAACATAATTCTCGGGCCATACAAAAGTATCAATTTAAAAATCAGCCTGCTATATTTGGTCAAACACTTAATTTACTCGCCCCTAATGCCTTGACAGGGCCAGATCAAATAACTTTTTAAAAATATGTTTTTATTGATTTTATAGAAAAGGGAAGAGCGACATAGAAACATGGATGAGGGAGAGACATTGATTGGCTGCCTCCTGCATGCCCCCCGACTGGGGATTGAACCCGAAACCCAGGCACATATCCTGACTAGGAATCGAACTAGTGACCTCTTGGTTCATGGGTTGATGCTCAATTCTGAGCCACACCAGCTAGGTCTATGTATAACTATTGACTCCTTAAAATCTTAACTAATAATAGCCAACTGTAGACTTGAAGGTTAACACATACTTTGTATGTTATTTGTATATATACTGTATCTCACAATAAAGTAAGCTAGAAAAAAAGACAAGAAAAGCATAAGGAAGAGAAAATACATATACAATACTGTATATATTAATTGAAAACATACTGTAAGTGGTTGCACAACCACCATTGAATTAAATAGTTGAAGTGAGTATTTAACTATATGGGCATGTGAAATATATTTCAATAATGTCAAAATTCAAATGGTTTTCATGTATTACCATATTCTTGTAGGTGTTTTTTTTGTTTGTTTGTTTTTCATCCTGTCAATGAAAAGAGTTTGAGTTGCACAAGCAGCACCATTTCATTTTTATTGATTTGTTAGTATAAATACTGCTTTCTGGCTAATATATTCACAGTGATTATCATGTTTCTGTTAGTTTCTAGTGCCAAACTAAAAAGAAAAAAGAACTGGTTTGGAACAGCAGTCTATGCAGAAGTAGTTGTAGATGGAGAAATTAAGAAAACAGCAAAATCTAGCAGCTCTTCTAATCCGAAGTGGGACGAGCAGCTGGCCGTGTAAGTACTGCGCAGAGGGATGAGGTCTTAGAAAGAAGTGTGCTGCTCGGAATCTTAAAAATTATTATTTTGTAAGAAAGCTTCATAGTATTGACTGCGGTATTCCAGTACGAATAGATAATTTAAAGTGAGAAATTGTGGGTTTCTTTTTCTTTACAGAAGAGGCAGAACAATCTTGCTTTAGCTTCATAAAGTATTTCCATGCAGCCATGTTTTCTCTTCTGTTTGGTTAAATAAATAAATAAATAAAAGCAGAAATCAATTATTCTTAAATTTGGCATTTTTAAAATGTAATGTTATAAATTTGTGTATTAGAACCAGTGCCATCAATTATCTTAAATGTTGAGAAATTTATTCAAATAGAAATATTCTGAAGCCTCAGACTCTTTTTTTAAAATATATTTTTATTGATTTCAGAGAGGAAGGGCGTGGGAAAGAGACAGAAACATCAATGATGAGAGAGAATTATTGATTGGCTGCCTTCTGCACGACCCCTACTAGGGATCGAGCCTGCAACCTGGGCATGTGCCCTTGACTAGAATTGAACCTGGAACCCTTCAGTCCACAGACCGATGTTGTATCCACTGAGTCAAACCAGCTGGGGCAGGCCTCACTCAGACTCTTGATGTATAAGTGGTGTTTTGGTTCGCTAAGTCCAAAAATTCTTATTTAGCTATTAAAGTGCTGATGTTCTTGAAAGTAAGTGCTGGTTTTGTAATTCAAGTAGTTTACTGTCTCATGCCATATTGTTTCGTCAAGCTGAATCCTGGCTTTACAAGTAACTGAGGTGAGGGATGTCATAGCCACGGGCTCGAATGACGGCATGTTCTTGCTTTGCTGGTCCTGCAGGAGTGTGAGCGCACAGAGCACACTGGAGTTCCGGGTGTGGAGCCATCACACCCTGCGGACCGATGCCCTGCTGGGAAGAGCAGCTGTGGACCTGAGGCAGGCTCTGCTGACGCACAACCGGAAGTGTAAGCTTTCTTCGCACCTTTCTTCCGTGGAGTCTGTGCTAGATCTCTGAATGTATCTTGAAGCCCAAAAGCTAAAAGGTAGCTAAACGCTGCCCACAGGTCACCGATGTGTGGGTGCTGGCCTGCTTGGGTACCAGGGCCTGCAGGCTGTGACTGCAGCACGGTGCCGGAGTCCACGGTGCTGAGTTTTGATTGGAAGTCATAGGACATTAATAGGGCTCTCGGCGGCCAGACACATTTCACACACACACTTATAACCGACTGAGTCTTGGGCTGCCTCTTCAGCCCCTTGGTTTACACGTGACGAGTGAGTGAGTGAGCTTCAGTTGAATTTGGGGGGTATTGTGGGATTCATTTTTTTATTATTTTTAAACATTTTAATTTATTCTAGAGAGGGAGGGGGAGACAGAGAAACATTGAGAGAGAATCATTGCATGGCTGCCTCCTATATGCCCCATACTGGGTATCAAGCCTACAACTGGGCCTGTGCCCTCACAGGGAATTGACTTGGTTCATAGGTCGATGCTCAACTACTGAGCTGTGCTGGCCAGACAGATTTATTTTTAAAAATCAAACTAACAAAAACTGCTTATGAACCAAATAATCCAACAAAGATATTCCTCTGTCACCACAGTCAAATGAGAATTTCCTCCCTAGCTTAGGGGAACAGGTTATGAATACCAGGGAATTATGTTTTGGAGGTGTGTTAGGTCCAGAAAGTGTCTGATGATCGGCACCTGCATGGGTAGAGGGTGCAGGGCTGTGGGGCGCCATCTGCTCGAACCTGCCAGAGAACAAGGTGGTCAGGTGCGGCCAGAGAGGAGGGAGCTGAGAGGAAGGAGCAGAGAACGGCCACCAGAAGGGGCCTGGACCCTGTGGCTGCGGGCTGCGGGCAGGGCCCTGGAAGCTGGCGCCAGCGAGTGGAGGCGAGAGATGATCCCGGGAGGATGGCATGGGGAGGGGGTGAGTGGGACCAGAGGAAGCACCGCGGCGCTCAGGTGTCCTAGAGTAATTTTAGGGACAGAGGGACACAGTGTGTCCTCGTGGGGAATATTGTGAGAGCGATTGGAGGTGACATCTATAAAACTGTAAATCTCAACCATAATCGTGTGAGTAAGCAGCTTGAAGGCCTCTCTATTCATCTGGGTTTTCACTGCTTTCCACTGTTCTCAGCCAAAGGTCAGAGTTCAGTAACGTCTCACATGCAGCCTTGCTGTAGTGAAGCATGGAGCAGCACTGGACACATGAGCACACACATGCTCACTCACATGCCCTTGTCCCCAGCAGCTCCCCTGAGTCGCCGGGAGCCTGTTTCTTACACATCTGAGTTCCTCCCTGTGCTTGCAGTGGTTCGAGGCACTGAATCTCTGATCATGGATGAGTGTGGTGTTCCACTTACTCAGTAGCACCGCCTCCTCTAGACACTGAAGAGGCCATGGGGCGGACTCAGTATTTTTGTCTTAATGCTATTGGAATGTAACTTGTCTAAGCTACCCTTATCTTTCAACATACATGTATTTAAACATGCCCTAAAGCCTTTTTGGAATAGGGTGTAATAAACAATTCCCAAATAAAAACATCAAGTTTAGTAACCCTCTCTACTGAAGAGACTCCGACTGTCCTTCTGGAGTAGGATGTCATGTTTTCCATAGTTCATGGTCCACCTCTCTCTCATCCTAGCTGTTTTGTGTGAGTGTTGTATGGAGCTAACATGACTCTGCTTATCTCATTCTTTCATTAGCAGTGATGCTCTCTGTTAGCTCTTTGCCTTTCATGGGACAGATGTTTATATTCGAATCACCTAAATAAGGATGAACTACAAAGACTCTCCGAGACTCAGGCAGGGGAGCAGCAGAGGGACCAGGTGATAACAGGTTGCACTTCCCGTTGCCCCATCCTGAGCAGAGCCCACACTCTGGTCTCTGCTTGGGTGGGGTGGGGGTGGCCACGCTGGTCTGCTGGGGGAGTCTGTCCTTCTCTCCTGGCTTCAGAGTGCAGAGTCCGCCTCGCTCACTCGCTCGCTCACTGGGCTCTCCGGAAGCGGCTGTTGAGGCCGTGGTCCTGGCTGTGCTGCACAGGGGTGCAGCTTAGCAACCGGCTCTGCGTTTCACTTCCTTTAGTTCATGTAGATGTCTGTGGCCCAGGCCGCTCCTGCCTGCCCTGGGGCCTGTTTTTATTATGTGTGTTTCAAAACCAGAGTTCGTTCCTGTTTTGTTTGTTTTATTTTATATGTTTCTTTTGTAGAGTTTTAATTTTTTCAGTCGGTATCAGATTGGCTTTCTTGTAAGAGTTGATTCTGGAAGCCTCTCAATTCATTTTCTTAAGTGCTCATCTGAAATCTGTGTTTTGCTTTAGGAAAATTCCAAATGTAGATGCTTCTAAGTCCCTCTCCACTGGGATCCCTGCCATCAGCTGCGCCCAGTCCTATGAGCTCAGCCGCGGTCCTTGTTCCTGGGCATCTTCTTGCTTCTGCCGAGTGGCCTCCCTTCTGTCGGTGACTCCTGCTTTTCTGCCTCCAGGGTTGTTTTTAAGGTGTGATGTTTACCGATATGTTTCTAGCTTTCCTCATAGCATATGTCAATCAATGCATCTTACTGCCTTTACTTAAGATCTTAAACATTTTCCATGCAACTTAAGAATTATTCTTTTGACCTCTGCGAACTTTCAAATGAGACCTGAGTTGCTCTTTATTTCTCCATTTGCTAACAGCTTATCCTCCAGTTGTTTGTGATTTTTTTAAAATAAAACTGCCTGTGTTGTTTTGATATTCTTGATATGCTTGGTGCAAAGCTTTCCATCTTCCCAGAAGTGGCATATTCTACCTGTGGGTTCTGGTCATTTGAGGAAAGTTAGAAGCCCATAAATTAATTATATTCTTGCTTTCTTAGATCTAGGACTTTTCTTCGTTAAATAAGTACTTATTGAATCTAAAGAAGAAACATAGAACAAACGGAGAACACTGTTTCTGACCGCCCCCCCCCCCCGTCCCCCCCGTGATGTGAACCCAGCAGGCTCCACATCAGAATGTGTTTGTTCTTGTCAAGGTCACTGGCCCACTTTAGATTTATGAGGCTAGTTCCTTCCTGTACTCAAGGCCCTGATATTTTGTTCTCAAACATTTATCTTTCCACACACCCTTTCTCCTGGTGTATTGGGGGTGAGGGGGGGTGAGTAGGTATTTCCTGCTTTCGAGGACGCTCACCTCTCAGCCGTCATGGTGTATGTGAGCACAGCCGCCACAGCCTTCTGGAAACCCACAGCCGAGCCGGTGGCAGGAGCTGTGTCCCGCAGGGCCCCTCACTTCACCTCAGCCCCAGGGGCTCCAGGCCAGGCCTCTCCTACACGGAACATTTGTTCTGAGCCTCGTTTTTGCCCCCGTTAACCTTCAGTTGTGTGTGCAGACCACGTGAACACCAGGCTGAGTGATGGAAGTCTTTTCATTGGCTCTGCAGATACACGCGGTGTGTTAGCTTTCTTCTCTCTGTCATCGGCATTAGACACCTATGTCTGAGATGAGTTCTGCCTCTCTGCCTGCCTGCCCGCAGTGTGCACAGACCTGCTGCCTCAGAGGGAGTGAGGCAGGGAAGGAAGGAGGAGAGGGGCGAGTGGGACCAGGAGAGGGAACGTCAGACATCGGTGAAAGCGTTCAGGCACCTCTGTCCTCCATGGGCCTGGCCTCCGGAGACAGTACGGCCCAGGGTGCTCGGGGCCTGGAGGAGGACCCCGAGGCAGGAGGGACCAGCCTATCTCGGGCAGCCAGCCCTTTGGGTAACGAGTAAAGGAAGGGGCGCTCTGGCCTCTCGGGTGGGCTGGAACGAGTTTCCTCAGGCAGCCGCCTGACGGGGCCTCGTTGTCGGTGCTGACCGCCGAGCTGGAGGCCCTGTGCAGGGATCCGCTCACACCGCTCACTCCGGGGCAGGCGGCTCAGAGGGGAGCTTATGCTGGGAGGGTGCAGAGCCTGGCCTGCGCTGGGCCAGGAGGTGTGTCAGTGTCCCTGGGGGGAGAGAAGAGTGTACACGAGTTCTCGCAGGCTAGAGGCAGGACTGCATGGCAGACTTCAGTTTGGAGACCGATGGCCACAGCTCTCCGGAGAGGAGTGTTCTGATGGTGCCGTAGAACCAAGAACTTAAGTTGTCAAGGAAACCATTTAGAAATCTATTAAGTTCACTTAAACAGGAGCATTCTCTCCTACATTGAATAGCAGGAAGCAGCAGAGAAGCATGCCTTCCTACTGGAGGACAGAGCGCCATCTAAGTTAATGTTACTGAAAAGTTTGCTTTTAGCCCAGCCAGGGCGGCTCCTTCACCAAGCACAGTGCAGGGGGCAGCTGGTCAATGATTCTCTCATTATTAATGTTTCTCTCTCTGTCTCTCTCTTCTTTCCTCTCTGAAATCAATAAAAAAATATTTTTAAAAGATTTGCTTTTAGCCTTATTTACCAGCTGATACTCACACAGCAGGTGCTCACTGTCCGTGGGTGGAGAGGTCTGAGCTGGCTGATTGTTATAGGTTACTAAGTCTTAAGCTCTCTTTTTAGAAATTGACTCAGTGTCAGCACAAACAAAGATGCTTTAAAGCTGAGGTTTAGGACAGACAGTATTTTATGTCTGGTGATGAGTGCATTTCTGTGTTAGACTCTCAGGATTGAAATGATTAGGTTGAAGGGAGTGGCGGTTGTCAGGCCCGGGCTGTGCCCTGTCCTTCCTGTCCGGCCGCCCTCACCTGTGCCGGGCGGGAGGCCCACACGAGTGTTCGCACCTGACCGATAAAGTGAAGCGTTTTCTCCTCCAAGCGCTGCTCAACAGCAATGAAGTCAGATGCTGGTTGGTCGTTTGTCTTTCATCACTCATGGTTGTCTTACTCTTGGCAGATTTTTCTGTTCGTTTGTTGCTTTTCATTCACTAACTTAAAAGAGCTCTTGCTTTTTTCTTCCCAGTTAATTATTTGCCTCTTTTTTTTTTATCCTGTTTTAGTTTATAGAAGTTTAATATGTTGATCGTAAAAATTAATTCATCTTCCATTATTTATATGCTCAGAGAATCCTTTCTAATCCTATGTTTGATAGTTCTCTATTTTCTTCTTGCACATTTATTACTTTGCTTTTTCTCTAAATTCTTTTACATTCTGAGCTTTATCTTGTACCTGATGGGCAGGGAGCCGGCTGGCTGGGAGTGGGTGCACACAGACTAGGGCTGTGCTAGGAGGGCCTGTTCTGGGCCTGCTGATCGCTCGCTCCTTCTGTGTCTGCACCTGGTGCCCCCGCGTTTACATGTGTCGGCCAGCCTCCTGCTTCGGTGTCCCTCCCTCGCGTGGTCTGGGTGACAAGTGGAATGTGGCCCAGCGAGGCAGAGCCCCTGGGGTGGCCTGGACGGCAGTGCAGCTTCTGCCTAGGTCTCGGCTCCTCACAGGCGCCTGGAAGCCGGAGCGGCTGGCCCGGCAGCACCCGCCCCCTCCCCAGCCCCGAGCACAGGAACCGAGTGAGAAGTGCTGGGTTATTTTAACTGACTGTGTTCTAGGATAATGTAATACTTAACAATAAGTAATACAGTGTGCAAGCATTTTTAAAAATAGGTTCCGATGTGACCAAGCTAAATTTGAAGGATGAAATGCCTTAATGATTTTTGAATACCTTTTGTCTTCTGTGGGACAGAGCGTGCATGTTTTCGACAGTTCCATGATTCGGGGATAATCCCTGGTCTGTGCCCGGCTCTCAGACCCGGCTGGGCCGTCCTGTGACGCTGAGGAGGCGTTTCTGGGAGGTTGGAGAGTAGCTCCCGGTATCTGAGGACCGCACTGCCCTCTGCATTTCCTGTCACTTCACTCAGCACTGTCTGTCAGTCTGCGGTGCACCACTGCCTGCCAGCTCTCTGCTGTCCTGGGCTGCCATGTAGCTGAGAGGGGAGGATCTGCACCCCCCCCCCCCCCCAGGCAGAGCCCATGCCCATGGCCCCTAGGGCTGGTGTTCAGTGCAGGGGAGATGAATGGAGGGAAAGGGGAGCCCCCCGCCCCCCAGAGAGCTGGTGTTCAGTGCAGGGAGGAGAATGAGTGGGAGCCCCTCACACAGCAGGTGCTCACTGTCCGTGGGTGGAGAGGTCTGAGCTGGCTGATGGTACTGTGATAGAACCCCTCCCCTCCATGGATACAGGTGTAGATGGGAATTAGCATCTGACTGCCCCCAATTTTATGATTCAAAAATGGTAGAGCTCAGTGTTCCATGTTCAGAGTTGTGAGAGAGCAGATGATGTAAACTCATAGGCATAGGCACCTACACACACACACACACACCACACACACACACACACACCATACCACCTCAACACAGCCGGGCAGACAGGTCCTGGACCAACAAGTGCTTGCAGCAGTGGTGATATTTGCAGAGGCCCAGTGACTCCAGGCTCCCTTTCTTTAAGAAGCGGTGAAAGCCAGTGGGATGCGTGCAGCATGGAGGGGCCTGGAGAGCATCATGCTAAGTGGCATAAGCCAGTCAGAGAGGGACAAGTACCACATGATCTCACTCATATGTGGAATCTAATGAACAAAATGTATCAACCAACAAAATAGGACCCCAGGCATTGAGCAGACAGATCTCAGAGGGGGGATGAGAAGAGATCAACCAAAGGGACTTATCTACTCGCTAGAGGCCTGGTGCATGAAAATCCGTGCACTTGGCAGTTGCAGGGGGGAGGGGGGGGGCGCCCTCAGCCCAGCCTGCACCCTCTCACAATCCGGGAGCCTTGGGTAGAGTCCCTAGGCCTGGCCTGAGATCAGGGCCTATTGGGGCTTTCCTTCCCCCACCACTGCAGGCAACTAGCCTCACCCCTGCTGCTGCCACTGCTTGCCATCTGTGCAGTGCTGCCCCCTTCCCCTGCCACCAGTGGCCTCCCTCTGCAGGCGACAGGCTGGGGTTCGATGGCTTGGCTGGCCTGAGCCTCCCTCTATGGGGCGATCACTGGCTGGCCACACAACTGCCACAGCGTCCTGGTCAGTGGCCTGGGCCTCCCTCTTTCTTTGCTGGGGGGCAGGGCCAGCCCTGCAATTTGCCATCTGTCTACCTGATCACCCCTAACTGCTAGCCTGCATACCTGATAGCCCCTAACTGCTAGTCTGCCTGCCTGATCACCCCTAACCTCTCTGTCTGCCTTCCTGATCACCTCTAACTGCTTGCTTGGGGGTGGGGCCAGCCTGGTGAGGGGCCGTCTGCCTACCTGATTGCCCCTAACCACTTGCCTGCCTACCTGATTGCCCCTAACTACTCTGCCTGCCTGATTGCCCCTAACCGCTTGCTTAGGGGCAGGGCCAGCCCGTGAGGGGCCATGGTGGTCTGAACTCTGGTCGTTTTGATCATGACATCTCTGGTCTTTCATTATATAGGATATGCATAGACCATGGACACAGACAGTAGTGTGGTGAAGGCCTGGGGGGAGGGTAAAGGGAAGAAAATTGGGACATCTGTAATACTGTCAACAATAAAATATACACATTAAAAAACAAGGGGCAAAGCAAAGCTTACAAACCGAGGGAGAACTGTGGATGATGCTGGTTTGCGCACGGGTGGAAACGTGACTCTGCAGGCCCTGACTCTCCCAGGCAGTGTGATCGAGGGAGTGTGCCTGGACACGGCCAGGGACAAGCATGACACCAAAGGCAGAGGCAGCTCCAGAGGAGAAAGGCATTTCAAAGGTGTGTAAGTTAGAATTCGGAATTGGCTGCACAAGGAGCAGATGGGGCGGGATGCCTTCACGCTGGTAGGTGCGAGTCAGCCTGGGCTGGCAAATGCACGCAGAGCCCGCACCGAGTGCTGCCTGCAGGGATCCGAGGCCGTGCCTCGAGTGGCGGTGCAAACCGCTAAGCGTGTTAGGAACAAGGAGCTCGTCTCCAAACTGCAGGAGCTTGGAGTGGAGAGCGGTGATGAGTGAGGTAGAATGGAGCCAGTGTAGGTTCTTCAGGTCTGCACTTTAGCCCGGGCAGAGCCATGATGCCAAGTTTGTAGGGTTTTTTTGTGTGTTTTAGCTTTTGTATTTTCTCTATAACGTTTGCTGTTGTTTGTGATGTGAGCGTTGGTACAGATGTTGGGGTGGATTTTCTGTAAGGTGTTCTTTTATCAGAGGGTTGCATACTCTGGGATAGAAGGAGGTGCAGTGAAATGAGCTTGAGTTTCAGGAAGAACAAGGTGTCCTCATGGCAGGAAGGACAGAGGTGGCCTTGTACAGAGGAAGCGTGTCGCCACTGAGGGACCCCCGCCGAGTGCCTTGTGTCAGGCGTGGGCCACGTGTGCTGTGTGCCTGGCATTTGCACCTGTGGCAGGCCTTCAGTGTGATGCTCTTGTAGCTCCGTTTGCCTTGAGGAGAGAAGGAGAGGAGCAGCCTGATTGCTCATTCGCTGCCCCGCTGGGTGCACAGAGCCGAGTCAGTGCCATGCCATCCGGCTTGCGCAGGGATGTGCCGCAGGCACCGGTGGGAACCTGGGCCGGGAGCCTGTCCGGGCGAGGCTGGCCTGTCGTCCACCTGTCTCTGAGGTTCACGCCGAGCACAGGGCGCTGGCATGCTGGGGCAGCCCATGGTGGGCGAGGCAGGGGGGAGGGGGCGGCCTGGGTGGCGGGCTGAGCGCAGGGGACCCTCCCCACACAGCCAGGGGCCGCGGTCATCTGCACTGCAGCTCTGGTCTCTGAGACAGTTCTGTGGGCAGCAGGAGCTTTCAACTTCGGATTTTTTTTTCCAGTGGAAAGAGTGAAGGAACACCTGAAACTGTCCTTGGAGAACAAGAATGGCGTGGTGCAAACTGGCGAGTTGACGGTGGTGCTGGACGGGTTGGTGATTGAGCCAGAAAATCTGACGAGATGCAGCCCAGCCCCAACCAGTAAGCTTCTGTGTGTCTGCAAAATTCAGGGAACCATCAGCAGGAGGTATGAAATCCCTTTCTCTCTTTCTCATTGTTCAGGAGAAATACAGAATGGTGACGCCCTACGGGAGAACGGAGCGCCCTCGGCCAGGACGAGCAGGTAGAGCATCCCTGCCTCGAGGCGTCTGTGGCCTCAGCTTAGCGTTCGCCTCGGAACTTAAAACGTCCTTCCGGTTGACTTCCTGCGAGAGCAGTATGGAAGCCAGCTGTGTTGGGATACAGTGCACACCCCCTGGTAGCCCTCCTCACGGGGACACCAGTGATGTCACCCGCACGGAAAGCGCTTCCACAGCCCGCAGCCTCTGGCCTGCTGCTCGTCCCGCAGGCTGCCCCGTGAGGACGTGCTTTAGCAGCGGGACAGCGCGGCCCTCTGTCTGACGCCCGTGCCGGCGGTGTCGGACTCCCTTCTTTCTCACTGCACGTGGGCTTTCCCAGCCTGCGTGTGCCAGGTTATCGGTAAGGCGGGCCATGCGGGGATCGGGCATCTTCTGCTCCCTGTGGACCATGGAAGAGAACACGTGGTCTTTCCCCAGAGACCAGCCTGCGTTTATCATCCGCTTCACTTATGTTTGATGGTAATGAAGAGAGGCTTCTGTTGGCTGCAGTCAAATAGGAATGCAGGCGGGTAACAGGTGGACTGTAACGGAACGACCAGAACTCCAGAAGGGAACTGCTGCTGGGAGAGACCCGTCCCAGCACGGCCGCCTCGCAGACACAGCTCCCTGCTCCCGCGGGCCTGAGCAGAGGTGGTTGGCTTGAGTGAACGTATTTAGTGTCCATGTTGGAATTTACTTGGACAGAATTAAGGACTGAAAGGGCAGCACAGTTAGGTTCATTAAAAGGTGTCAGTGGGTTATGGTGAGAAGTCTAGATCTCAGTCCTGGTACAGTGGCTTTTAAGGGGAAGGGCGGGATCTGACTTAAATCTAAAAAGAAAACCAAGCTGAGGCTGTTGGAGGCGCCTCTCAGCGACACCAGAGGTGATACCAGACAGGACAGCCCCGAGCCATCTGCAGTGCAGATGACTGCAGCCCTGGCTGTGCGGGGAGCGCTGCCCCCCTCTGTCCTTGGTTTCTCAGGTAGAGGAGTTTATACAGAGACCTCGGCCGCGCTGTGAAGAGCTGGCTTGTTAAAGCAGTTAGAGCATGTGCCTTCACTGAAAAAGCAAAGCCTGCAGGCCTCTGCATCGCTCAGACAGGCTCTCAGCTCATCTGAGAAGCAGTGAGGGGGTGGGGTTAGGCCCTCCTGTCTATGGCATTCCTTGCTGACTCTTTCAGTGCAGATTAATTCCCAAGGCCCCTTTTACTTTGTGGTGCCCTTTCAGAATCCATGGGAAGCACCTGGCAACCTTACCTTGCCAAGCCTGAGACTGCAGGCTTCTCTGCTCAGGGTGAACAGCCCTTTTTTCCTTCGCCCTCCCCCTCCCTCTGTGCAGTCTCTCCTTAGGGAGGGTTTTAGTCATTTGCTGAGTCCTTGGCTGGGAAGAAAATGGCTGATTAGTTATAAGCCGGCTGTGCATTGCCACACTTAATGGCTTTATTTTAACTTTCCTGCCTCAGTGTCTGTCCCTGCTGCCCTGGAATAGCAGCAGGCGGCTCCATGGGAGCGGATGGAGGGGACGTGGTTGGACTGCTCCCCCTCCAGGGCTCACAGTCACCTAGGCCCAGCCACTGGCCACTGGCCACTGCCCGCGAGGGTCACAATATCTGCTTTTGCAGTTGTGGTATCTGTGTGTTTCCAATTTCTGTTTTTTGCAGTTTTCAAATGTTGATTGCAAATTATCACTAATTTATATTTGATGGTAATGAAGGGAGGCTTTCTTCATTAATCTCTACATAATCTCTACAATTATGGGATTTTTCTGATCAATAGAATTATAATATTTTGAAAATGATTTTTGTTTCACAAGTATTTTGAAGATATTTCAGAGCATCTATATATATAAAAGGCTAATATGCTAAGTGTCCATCTGGGTAATGACATCACATAGCAACGCTCGGCTTCCTCTCCCTAGCAACTAGCCTCCTTGCAGTTTCTTCAGCCCAGGAGCACGACTTGCTTTATAGCCAGGTGGAATCATTTCACACTGTAACCAAATGTCTATGAAGCGTTTTCACTTGCCTCATCTCATTTGATCCTCACAGAAGTCATCGAGTAGGTAGACAGGAGACTTGGTGGGATCCTATTTTCTTTTCATTAGCTGGAAATCAAAGATTTAGAAAGTTTAGAAAACTGATCTGACTGAAAAGAAGAAATGGTGGACCTTGAAAATGACTTCGGGTTTTCTCACTGCACAGAATATAGTCAAACACGGCTGCAGTGAAATATTTCACCTTTTGTTCTCCCTGTGTGATCTATAAAAATAATCTGCTTTGTGTTGATATTTACTGCTGTTTCACTGGCAATTACCTGTAAGAGAAGTTGGGTGCTTCACTGGACTGGAAAAAGTTCAGGTACATCAGAAAGCAGATCTAATTAAGCAAGTTTATCTAGATATAAAGCTATCACTGTCAGTGTCAATTGTGAATTTGGTTGACACTTCTATTTTAGAGAAAGGATGAATAGTGATATTAAAATATTTCTTCTAATTAATTTCCTTTCAATGTGCATGAATTCATGCATTGGGCCAGTAGTTTAAAATTAGTATTCTTAGACTTAAGTATTTAAAATGTACAATTTAAACATTATTTTGAGGGACAGAATTTATTTTGACTTAGTATATAGTATTTTTCAGCATAGATTTATCTGATAGTATGGGATATGCTTAGAACCAAAAGTAATTTAAATCTTTATGTAAGAAAGCATGCCCTATATTTGTTCATTGCTCTCTGTCATTTTATTTGAATATGAAGAACTTGGTAGGTTTTTCTTATGACCATTTTGAGGAGAAGTTGTTGAATTGTACTGAGTTCACTGAAGTCAGACATCTTGCTTCTGAAGGTTGACTGCTGAAGGTGCAGGTGGAGCAGATAGCCAAGCGCCCGCTCCCGCTGAGGTGCAGAACTGCTACTCCCGTGTGGCGAATGGAGGCAACACACCTTCCTCTCCGGCTCCGGCTCCATCTCCAGGTGCTGCCAGACCCCAAAACACACCAGCTCCCAGACCACGCACAGCTGAGCCCGTCGGTGACACTGGTAAGTCTGTGATAGGGCGCATGTGCGTGGAGATTCCGGGACACTGCCTGTGCCCACTCTCCTTTTGTTGCAGTCTTTCCTGTCCTCAGCTTCACGGTAGCAATTCAGATGACAAGGCCTGAGCTTTTTGGCAGTAATTTTGAATTTTCTAGATTGCTTTGGGCAATACACCTAAAATACATTAATTTAGAGATCACAGCACATTTCACTAAGCAAAATGTACAATTTTTTTAATATATTTTATTGACTTTTACAGAGAGGGAGAGGAATAGAGAGTTAGAAACATCGATGAGAGAGAATCATCGATCAGCTGCCTTGCATACCCCCTACTAGGGATGTGCCCACAACCACGGTACATGCCCCTGACCGGAATCGAACCCGGGACCTTTCAGTGTGCAGTTCCGGTTTCGGCCAAAATGTACAATTTTTTACTATATTATATATCTGGTATGTGATAGCTAGATTTCTAGGCTTTATAAAAGTACAATCCTATAGTAAGAGAGCAATATGCTAATTATCAATATTTGTTACACTGGAAGGCATAACGATTGGATCACGGATCAATAGGAGGCTGGGGCAGTGAGCTACAAGCATCACTGCCCCAGGCGGTGGAGAGCTGCAGAAAAGGGCAGGGCAGCCAGCTATGAGGGGTGGGGGGAAGGAGCTACAGGAGGATGGGGCAGTGGGCGGAGCTACAGGAAAGTGGCAGTGAGCTACCCGTGCAGATTCATGCGCAGGGCTACTAGTGTGATTCATAATAGGGAATGTATTTCTAAAAGGACCTAAGTGACTTCATGGACTTGTCGGTAATGAATCGTTCCTGTAACTATAGTCTACAAATACTTTATTTCTTGTCATGTAAACTGGTAGGAAAATGTGCTGTCAGAGAGCTTTGTGTTTTCCAAGAGTTAAGTCTTCTGTTATAGAAGGAAGATTCCGCTGATCCTACTTTTCAGTGGACTTTGCTGTAAATTCCATGGATTCTTTTTGCTGTTATTTTCTTTATACATTAACTCTTTCAGACAAATCTCTTAAAATTCGAACATTTTAGGTCTTGCTGAGATGACTTTCGTGTGTGCTGGGCTGGAGTCGGGTCTCTTGGTCCCAGAGCCTGTGTTCTGCCAAGTGTTTTCTGTTTATGGCAGGTTATTCAAAAGTAGAAGCATGAAGAGAAGCGACTCAGTGATTAAGTGAAAACAGGCTGATTTATCAATGAGTCGATCTGCATTTACACTCAAGGTTGGGGGGTACTTACCATGTGTTATCCTCAGAGTTTTTGTAAACATTGGAACTGACATGAGTTTTTAAAAATTTAATTGGCCTATTAATGCTTCTCCCTTAAAAATATATAAACTTGCCAAAACCAGTTTGGCTCAGTGGATAGAGTGTCAGCCTGTGGACTGAAAGGTCCCAGGTTCCATTCCGGTCAAGGGCATGTACCTTGGTTGCGGGCACATCCCCAGTAGGGAGTGTGCAAGAGGCAGCTGATCGATGATTCTCTCTCATCGATGCTTCTGACTCTCTATCCCTCTCTCTTCCTCTCTGTAAAATAATCAATATATATATATATATATATATATATATATATATATATATATATGTATAAACTTGCCCTGACAGTGGCTCAGTCTATTGGAGCATTCTCCCGTGCACCAAACAGTTTCAGTTTCAATCCCTCTGGCCCAGTACAGGAGGCAACCAATCAATGTTCTCTCCCACACTGATGTTTCTCTCTCCCCCGCCTCTCTAAAATCAGTAAAAATATCCTCAGGTGACCATTTAAAATATCTGTATGGATAAATGAACTTAAAGACCCTCAGAACAGAAATAGGTCGAACTTTTTTGTTAAATTAATTCCAGGTGGCTGGGAAACGGAGAGAAAAGATATACACCCAGGGTAAAGGCAGAGAGAGACTCATTCCTTTTCTGATTCTGGCCAACTTTTTAGTAAGAACATTTGTCTCAGGTTTCTGCTAGCAGAGGAGGAAAGGGAACGTCTTAGATTATCCATAATTGTCTGTAAGCGAAGAACAGCTCAGTTAAGATTGTCAATGAGATTCCAGGTGCGGAGCTGAGTGAAGAACCAGCGTGAGCAGCGTCCTCGCTGATTCCAAGAGTAAGTGCAGTAATTAAGTCTGCTAGAACAGAGGTCGACAAACTCATTAGTCCACAGAGCCAAATATCAACAAGACAACGATTGATATTTTTTTTGAGAGCCAAATTTTTTAAACTTAAACTTCTTCTAATGCCACTTTTTCAACACAGACTCGCCCAGGCTGTGGTATTTTGTGGAAGAGCCACACTCAAGGAACCAAAGAGCCGCATGTGGCTCGTGAGCCACAGTTTGCCAACCACAGCCCTAGATTCCATTCCGTGTTATCTACCCTGATTCAAATAGTACAAGTTCTGTTTTGTTTTATTTTGTTAATTCTCACCCGAGGATATTTTTTCCATTGTTTTTTAGAGAGTAGGAAGGAGGTAGGGAGAGAGAGGGAAAGAGGGAGGGAGGGGAGGGGAGGGGAGGGGAGGGGAGAGAGAGAGAGAGAGAAAGAGAGAAAGAGAGGGGTGGGGATTGGACCTACAACTCAGCTACAAGCCCTTGACCTGGAATCCTTCAACCTTGGTGTTCAGGCCAACACTCTATCCACTGAGCAACACCAGCCAGGGCAAATATTACTGTTTTTAAAATTACCTGAGGACATAGTTATAGGAAGGACCAAAATTTTATTTCTTTAAAATGTCAGCACATGGAAAAATGGTTTATCTGAGTGCCAGTCCTTCACAGTGAAGCATGAATCCAGGGCTCTGTGGCTAGAGGGGTTTTTGAGTTTGGTATCCATACTAAAAACCATGATAAAAAAAAAAAAAAACCTAGTTACCCACCCATTAAAAATTATATTTTAAACTATGTAACTCCCTTGCAAACTCTCCAGAGAGGTTGTAAAAAATGAAAATAATGCCTTGTGTAGGTGCCCCCGCTGTTCCCAGGAGTAATTCGAAGCGTGGGAGGGTGTGAGTGCTCGGGGGAAGGCCTGCCTCGCTCTCACCTGGGAGCGGAGTGGGCAGCTCGTGCTTCCTGCTGCTGCACCTGCCTGAGCCCAGCGCTGCAGGGACCGCTGGCCGCAGGCACTGGCACGTGCTGTGTGGCTGCCAAAGGGGCAATCTCTTCTTTAACCCACAGCTCGTCTGTGATTTAGAGACTTCACATGGGAATAATTTCCCTTGGTTGTCCTTGTGAGAAACTCCAAGGTGAAAATAAGACGCGTGAGGAGCTGGAATGAAGGCTCCGGCTTCAGTTCCCATTGCCAGGACATTCACAGGAAGCAGAGGAGCCCAAGGCCATCCAGGTGCCTGTTCTGGATGTGTGCCCCGTTTCCCACCAGAACCGGCTCCGTAGCTGTGGGGGATGCCAGTGCTGGAAGAGCACGGCTAGGGAGGGGGCAGAGTAGCCCCAGCTCTGCCTCCGCCTGCCCTCGCGGTGTGGACTCTGCCTCAGAGTTTAGCCGTTTGTCTTCTGTGCCTCGATGGCCTCAAACATGCCTCCACCCAGCACAGTGACGTCGCACCTCTGACTATTGTTGGTGACATCTGACGGAACTGTGCACTGCGTCATTCCATTGGCCAGACTGCAGCTTCCGGAACCCGCTGTGGTAGCCGCCGCTGACCCATGTCTTTCCTACTGTCTGTCAGCCCTCAGTGGGAGGATGAACCCAGGTATATTTTCAGGGAATGGTTCTTTCTTTTAAGGTCTTAGTGCAAAATTGTATTCCTCTTTTGCATGAAGGCCTTTAAACATTAGTTTCACTGTTAGAATGGGGGCAGGAGCGTGCATGTTCTGTGTCTGTCGCATGACAGGTTTTAATCCCTTACCTTCAACACCACAGTCCTCAGACCTTTAGAGCCGAGAGGTGTGTGTTTCGTAAACGCATTGGCTGGCAGAATAGCTAGCACTGGTTTGAGAGTGCTCTGAGTTTGCTGTGCTTAGGACGAGTGTGGGCCTGAGTGTGCTTGGTGTTATGTCGTGTGCTGGGTCCTGTCACCGTTCGGAGTCCACAGAGGTATGAGGCGTGGACGCCTATGGGCGGGCCTGTGTGCTGAGAAGGAGCTCGAGACAAAGGGTTTCCAGACAGAAGGTGCATGCCGGCTCCCGCGGGGCTGAGTCTTGAGTGAGGGATTGTTTGATATGTTTAGCTGCTATGAACATTGGTCGTCGTTTTAAGCTAAATAAATGGTAGGAGTCAGTCATGATGTGATTAGACCTGGCTTCTCACAGGACGAGGTTCAGATCCCAGCTCTGCCACTCGACACAGTGACCAGTGTGTGTGACCGTGGACAAGTTAACTTTGCAAAATTCAGCACCTCTATTTCTGAAAGAGGGTATACTCAAGTTACTGCTTACAGGATTCCTTCAAATGCAGTCTAAAACCTCTCCCATAGTCCTTGGACAGTGGCAGACTTTAAGAGAGATACTATTTTCTTTTCTACTTCTTCCCTCTGTCCCTAACTTGTAGTGGCAAATAACTTTTTCTAATACAGAATTACTAGAGGCCCAGTGGAGTCCCTTGGCCTGGTCTGCGGAGATCAGGCCGAAACCAGCAGTCGGATATCACCTGAGGGGTCCTGGAATGCAAGAGGGCACTCTGCAAAGTTGCTGTCACTCAACAGCTCCTGAATTGAGCATATGGTGGTCAGTGCAAATCATAGCTACCAGCCGGTTAGCCAGTCGGACAGTCACTTAGGCTTTTATATATATAAACTAGAGGCCTGGTGCAAGAAATTCGTGCACAGGTGAGGGGAATGTCCCTCTGCTCCGCCTGTACCCTCTCCAATCTGAGACCCCTTAAGGGATGTCCCTCTCACAATCCAGGACTGCTGGCTCCCAACCGCTCAATTCCCTGCCTGCCAGCCTGATCACCCCCTAACCACTCCCCTGCCAGCCAGATAGATGCCTAACTGCTCCACTGCTGGCCCAATTGCCCCAAACTGCCTTTCCCTGCTAGCCTGGTAATTCCTAAATGCCCTCCCCTCCAGGCCTGGTCCCTCCCAACTGCCCTCCTCTGCAGGCCTGATTGCTCCCAACTGCCCTTCCTTGCAGGTCTGGTCCCTCCCAACTGCTCTTTCCAGCTGGCCTGATCATTCTCAACTGCTCTCCCTTGCTGGCCTGATTGCCCCCAACTTCCCTCCCCTGCAGGTCTGGGTTCCCTCTCAACTGCCCTCTCCTGCTGGCCTGGGACCCTCCCCCCAACTTCCCTCCCCTGCAGGCTTGGTCCCTCCCAACTGCCCTCTTCTGCCGGCCCAATTACCCCTAACTGCCCTCCCCCACTGGCCTGATTGCCCACAACTGCCCTCCCCTGCCAGCCATCTTGTGGTGGCCATCTTGTGTCCACATAGGGGCAGACATCTTGTGTCTTGGAATGATGTGGTCAATTTGCATATTACTCTTTTATTAGATAGGATTAGAGTCCCACTGCACAAAATTCATGCAGAGGTAGGGTCCCTATCGGCTGCTGGCTGCCAGCCGGGGCCTCCCTTCCCGGCTGCTGGCTGCTGGGGTTTCGTTCTGCATGTCCTCCCGCCCCATGGTCAGCACCATGTCATAGTGAGTAAAAAGGGACAGTTTGCATATTAGGCTTTTATATGGAGAGAAGATTGTTTTATTCATAAAACAGACTGTAGTTCAATATGGCAAGTTTTAGGCATGGCTAACTGGTTTCACGTGTTTATTGGACTTCTATTTGTGGCATTTTGCTTTGCAATAATTATCGATTCACAGGAAGTTCCTGTGACGCACAGGAAGGTCTCCTGCTCCCTCCACCACCTCCCATGGAGCTGCTCGCAGGACCAGTGAGCGCTGGGCATGAGTGCATGACTCGAGTCCGATGCCAGGCTTCCAGGAGGCACGGCGCTGCCTTTTGGGGTTTTTGTTCTAGTCTTTGAATCACGGTCCGAGTGTGGCCTCCTGGTTGTAGAATTGGGAACTTTGTTTTGGCCTTTACAAATGTCAGGTTTTCCAAAAGTTCTCAGTGTATTTGGATGGAATATATATATATATATTATAGAAACTCAAACTACCGCTCTACCTCTGTAATTTATTTAGGTCAGGGTATCGATTGTGTTATTAAATCCTTCATATATTAATTATATTAGTATTCCAAAGTTATTCTAATTATACTTCAAATAGTAATTATATTTCTATTAATGCTTTGTTATCTGCATAGTTTTGAAAGAGGTGTATTTAGTTCTTTTTTTATTTGTCTTTAATTTATTGGTTCAACAAATATTTTTTGTTTTCATATGCCAGGTGTTTTGTATCTGTTGGAAATACAAAAGTGAAAAAATCTGACCAATTTTTTGCACTCTGCACTTTAATTAAAAATAAGTAAACACAAATAAATAGAATATTTCACAACTGAGAAACCCACAGTATAACATGGAGCCGGTGGGGCGGGCAGGGATGGCATCGGATTGGATGCTCCAGACACTGTCCTGATGGCGCCCCTGAGCAGGACTCTCCCCTAGGGGAAGCAGTAGCCTGTCCTCTGAGATTGGGGACCGACAGCGCAGGCACAGGCCTGGGAGGGAGGCCAGGCAGCACTGTGCGACCAGGTGTGGCCGTGGGGAAGGTGTGGATTGCATTTCCCAGGGGCGTGAAGATGGGTTGTCTGGTCTGGAGGGTGGGCCGTGTGGGCGAAGGACAGGGGCTGTTGCTGTAACCTAAGCAGGAGTGGTGGCCGGGCAGTGGCACGCTGGGCACCCTCACTGTGGCTCTTGCAGGGCACTGTCTGCTCCACAGCCCAGGCCCGGGCCTCTCTCGTGCTGGGCACCATTTCCTCTTGTTCTGCTGGGAAGATGTTGCCACCTTTTCTCGTGTCGACCTGAGGGCTCACACAGGGGAGCACACGTGGAGGAGGCGGCCCCTGAGAGCACGGCGGGGAGGGGAAGAGGGGGTCCTCGCACGTCCCGTCTCCATCCTCTCGGCCAGTGTCAGACACTGACGTGGGCGCTGCTCCTCGTCCTGCACTGCCCGTGTCCTCTCCAAAGCCGTTCTCCCCACACCCGGCAGGACCCACTGACCTGCCCGTGTGCACTGAGGTCTGACCGCTGGGGGCCCGCTCATCCACTCTGTCTGCAGGCCGGCCTGGCACCCAATCTTCCTTGGCCCTCCTGTGTCAGAGCTGTGGTGTGTGATCTCATCAGTTTCGTTCAGCTGTCTGCTCTCTTTCCAGTTGTATTAACTTCCTTTTCCAGGTCCTGGGGCTGAAACGGACCCAGTGCTGGGCTGGGTCTCTGGACTGGAGGGTGGGCCCAAATACTGGGCAGTCCCTGCAGCGCTGGCTAAGTCAGTGCCCCTCGCCCTCCCTGCACCTGCCAGCCACTGTCTGCAGCCAAGGGCCACCCTCAAGTCCCTTTATCCCTATGCAGACGTTCAGAATGGTCATTTGGAGGAAAAATATTGTTATCCTAATGTTGGTTTCTCTTTCCTTAGGGTTTTTTTTGTATATAAGGACTTTTTTATCTCTAAAATGTGAGCACAAAAGATGGAATCGGTCCTATTTTATGTTCGTCAGTCCCTGAGGCCCCACTGTGTGTGCTGTGCTCGGCCTGGTCCTCAGTCACATGGCCTGTTCATTGCCTTGCAGCTCATGGAGAGTCATCCTCGCAGGCACCGGCCCCACCGGAGGACGCTGCGCCAGGGCAGGCGGGGGCTCCCGAGGACAGTGCCCGGGCCTCCCCTGGCCCTGGGCCCCCTGGGGAGGAGGCCCTGGGTCCAGAAGCGCAGGTGCCCTCCGAGCGCAGTGGCGGCGGCCTCCCAGATGGGGATGGCGCGGCCATCGGGGCCGGGACCTGCAACCTGGACGCTGCAGCCTCTGCCACCGGAAGCAGCTCGGCCTCGGAAGCAGCCAAGCTGCGGCAGCCAGGTGGGAGTGTGGAGCCCGGGAGGAGCGCCAGCCCAGAGAGCCTGCCCTCCGGGTATGTGCCCTTCTCTTTTCTTCCCTTCTCTTCCCTTCCGAGTGTCAGACTTCCCGGCGATGGCTCTGCCCGTGTGAGTCCGGCTGATTGTGTGTGCAGGGTGGGCCATGGCACACGGTCCCCTCCCTGAAGCGTGGCCAGAGGGCAGAGGGGCAGCTGTGTCACCAACAGGCCCTCCTGATCCTCTGCTTGGAGTCCCTTTTCCTGAGTGTGACCGTGGCTACCCCAGCACGGCCTCCTCTCTGCAGCCTCTGCGGTCCGCCCCAGCACCCCCACTCAAGAACTCTCAGTCCCGAGCTGGGGGGTCACCCAGCTCCAGACCCGGTTCTCACGGCTCTGCGGTGGTTTTTGATCCTCTGCATCTCCCACAGCACGACTGCGGGGAAGAGTCTGCCTCCACCTGGCATCTCCCTCCCGTCTCATTCCAGCTGCTCATGCGGCTGCTTGGCTCGGAGGCTCTAGCATAAATGGGTCCGTGCCTTTGCGTTTGTGAGAATTTGGGGCTAGAGGCTAGAAAGGGGCAAGCAGGTCTCAGCTGCTCTGAGCGGCATCACCTGCTCAGAGGCCACACGCAAAGCTGGAGGTGTGGCCGAGCCTCCACTGCTGCAGGGCATGGCCTGCACCTCAGTCCTGTCCGCCCCCCGCGGAGGGGGCCCCGGTCCTGTCCGCCCCCCACGGAGGGGGCCCCCGGTCCTGTCCGCCCCCCACGGAGGGGGCCCCCGGTCCTGTCCGCCCCCCGCGGAGGCGGCCCCGGTCCTGTCCAGCCACTGCGGAGGGGGCCCCAGTCCTGTCCGCCCACCAAGGAGGTGGCCCTGGTCCTGTCCTCCCCCCGCGGAGGGGGCCCCGGTCCTGTCCAGCCACTACGGAGGCGGCCCTGGGCTCACCTGAGTTTCTGCCCATGTCCTTTCTTTGCAGCCCCAGGACCATGTTCTCCAAAACCAGGCAGAGGAGTCCCCACAGTTAGTGAGGAGAAGGAGGAGGGGTGGGGAGCAGGCCTGTTCCCGGCTCAGCTGCCAGGAGGGTCTCCAGAGTCACGTGAGGAAGGGCCCTGCCCTCCTGTGTGTGTGGCAGCTGGGGGCGGAGGAGTGTTAAGCGTGTGTGTGCGTGTGTGCACCTGTGCACTCTGTCAGGGAGCAGCATCAGTAAGTGAGGGCGTTTCATGGGGAAATCAGCGAGGCCTCCCTAATAAAAAAGAAATCAAACTTAACTGGATCCTTGTGTTTAAGACAAAAATATTTTCTATTCTTTCAAATTGGAAACAAGCATGTTAAAACTCAGGAATACCAGGTCTTTATTTTGTACTAGAAGCCCCATGCTCAGGCCCTGGAGCCGTCTTTTCTGCTCCAGCCCCTCCTTCCCACGCTGCCAAGGCCCTGAGAGACCAGGAGTGGGGCAGAACGCCCGTCCCTCTGTGGCTGAGTATGCAAATTTACCACTGGCTTTGTTGGGTTAATTTGCATATCACTCCTGATTGGCTAGTGGTGTAGCAGAGGTATGGTCAATTTACATGTTTGTCTGTTATTAGGAAAGATGTTTAAAATGTTTCTTCTATATCATATGGAAAGACTGGAGAAGAAGAGGCAGGGAGCACAGAAGAGAGTGTGAGATGGGGAGTAGAGTCTCGAGTGGAACAGGGAAGACACAGTGGAATGTCTGCAGACTTTCCAGCTCCCCTCAGGCCAGAGAGGGACAGCTGTGCACAGAGGCGACCCTGGTGCCCAGGGAGGGAGGCCCGCAGGGAGCAGGGCCCTGGCTCTGCAGGCCACACCGGCTGGCAGCTCAGATGCATGGTTTTGAAATTGCAGGCAAAACTGGCTGTCACTTCCCTGACATTCATGCCTCGAGCTTGCTGTTAGACGAAAGTTCCTCTGCCCTTCATTAAATGTCTCCTCTGATGATTTGGAACTCTATCAATCGGTGTCTTCTTAAAAACATTACATATTCTGTCCTAGCCGGTTTGGTTCAGTGGATAGAGCACCAGCTTGTGGACTGAAGGGTCGATTCTGGTTAAGGGCACATGCCTGAGTTGTGGGGCTCTATCCCCAGTAGGGGGCATGCAGGAGGCAGCCAATCAATGATTCTTATTATTGATGTTTCTATCTCTTTCTCCCTCTCCCTTTCTCTCTGAAATCAATAAAAATATATACTTAAAAAATAAAAATAAAAATATTACATATTCTGTCTTCTTCTGCTGACTGTACTTACAGTGTTAATGAAAGGAAAAATGTAAGAACTTAAGAAAAGCACTAATAATTGAGTAAAGAAATAATAATATGTTATATATTTAGACTTTTAAAGTGAAACCTGTAATTCCTTGGTTATAACGGGGAGTCATGTTTCAGATTGTCTCATTTGTTGTCTCTTACTTTCATTTTTGCATTTTTTAAAGGTGGGAGCAGAGGAAAGACCCTCACGGGAGAACCTATTACGTGGATCATAACACTCGAACGACCACGTGGGAGAGGCCACAGCCTCTACCCCCAGGGTAAGGTGCAGCTGACTGTGTCCGGGCTTTTCACACTCCGGCCTCCGCATTCACTTCCTGCGGCAGAGCGTGACTCCTTCTGCACATTGTTTCCTTTCGTTGGCTTGAAGGGCTTCCTACAAGATGGTCAAACACTGGCATGAGTTACTGCAGCCTGCCTGACTGTTTAAGGAATGTTCTCATAGATAGTGACCCGAATTCCATTACTTGTGGGGTGTACAGGCTGGTAGAGGCGTAAACCAGTGATGGCCCAGAGGTGGTCAGTGGCCTGCTATCATGTGGGGTGGGCATCCTAGACATTTCTTTTGCCCCGTCCCCCAAGGCCATTTACACTCATGCCCCTGTCCTTGGTTTTCTGTCTCATCTCGTAAGCATGCCGCCCACTAGCCAGCTCAGGTGTTAGTCAGTGTCCACACTCTGCCTGCAGCCTGCATTTCCCCTCCTCGTCTTTCCTCCTGGGAGCTCTGTCCAGCAGTACAAAGCGCACCCCGTCCCAAAGCTCACGGCCAGCAGTGCTCTCTGTGTGAGCGTCCTGTCATTAGTGCCCACAGCGGTTGCAGGTGACCTGGGGACGGCGTGTCCAGGTGTACAGGTGGAGAAGGGCATTCTCATCTGAGGGACCAGGAGGGAGTGCACGTGGCTCCACGCGATCCCAGAAGGAGCGTCGGGGTGTCGAGCACTGAGGCTGGAATTGGACGGTTCGTGCTGAGCTGCACCTGAGAGCTTGGCAGGGGGAAGGCGTGTCTGCAGGGGGCAGAGAGCCCCCAAAAGCCTGGCGTTCGTGTCCTGCTGTGGCCGTGGCCCTGGCCGTGGCTGGGGGTGGTTGCCAGGTGCAGTCAGCGCTCAGTAGGTGAGGCTTCCCAGAAAAGGGCCTTGATCCTGGGACAGTTCAGTCTGTGGCCCCTTGTGAGGCCAAGCTTAGAAATCCTGGGAGGTGTTTATCTAATATAAATAGCACGTTACATGTTAATCGTTTTTCCGAGTTACATTGCTTGAAGTTATTGTATAATGGCTTGGACTTGATCATTAAGTCATTTGCTTGAAGTGTTAAATGACTGCCTCCCAGTGCTGCTGCTGAGCGGCTGTCTGTTTTGGTTGCTGTCCTGGGGCAGCTGGGAGAGAAGAGTGGACGACCGGGGCCGGGTGTACTACGTGGACCACAACACCAGGACCACCACGTGGCAGCGGCCGACCCTGGAGTCCGTGCGGGACTTCGAGCAGTGGCAGTCCCAGCGCAGCCAGCTGCAGGGCGCTCTGCAGCAGTTCAACCAGCGCTACCTCTACTCGGTGAGCAGCCCAGGCACCACCTTCCCTCCCACCTCCCACCTCCTACCTCCTTCCATTCTACCGCCTTCTCTCCTGCCATGTTCTCTTCTGCCCAGTTAGAGGGCACTTAGGATTTGACCTTTGACAAAGTTTCTGATACACATAACCACTTTGAACCATTTTTTAAGAATTTCAGCTTCCTGATATAACTTACAGACTCAGTGTTTGTCCTTATTAAATGGTAGCTTTATAAATGCAATATATATATAAGCCTAAGCAACCATCACGAATGAAACAACTAAAAAGACAACCGAACAGGCTGTGTGGGGTGACCAGGTCAGCAGGGAGGTTAGTGAGGGATGACCAAACGACTGAACAGAGGGCTGCATGGACTGAACAGCAAGCGGCATGGGGCGACCAGGCTGGGGAGTGGCAGTGGGGGGCGACCAGGCCGGCAGAGGGGGGCAGTTAGGGCTGACCAGGCCAGCAGGGTTGGGGATGGGTAATTAGGGGCAACCAGGCCAGTGGACAGGGTCAGTTGGGGGTGATTAGACCGGCAGGCAGAGACAGGGATGATCAGGCCGGCGGGGGCGGGGCGGTAGTTAGGGGCGAGCAGACCAGCAGGCAGAGGCAGATAGAGTGATCAGGCTGGCAGGGGGGGCAGTTAAGGGCAATCAGGCAGGCAGGCAAGTGAGCGGTTAGGAGCCAGCGGTCCAGGATTGTGAGGTCAGGCTGAACCCGGCAATTTGACATCTCCCAAGGGTCTCGGATTAGAAAAGGTGCAGGCTGAGCTGAAGGGAACCCTCCTCCCATGCACGAATTTCTTGCACAAGGCCTCTAGCTTCTTCATAAAATACTGTGTCTTGGCAAACTCCCAGCCTTTTCCCTTTCCTTACGATCACTTTGCTTGCCGTAAGTAAAAGCATGGAGCTCCTGGTTTCACTTAAGGCCAGCCTCACCCTACGGAGCTCCGCTGGTCCGTTGCCAGGTTCTGAAACAGCCCTGGGCTCTCTGAGCCCACCAGAGATATTCCTGGGCTTGGGGATACTTTTGTCCCCAAACTCTGATGTACTTGAAAATTTGGTAATTTATTTGTTGCCATAAGCAAACATTCATAAGTTTAAAAAAATAAACTAAAAAATCTTTGTTAAATGGGTTTGGTCACAGGAAGTAGAAAATGTAAATTTTAAGAACTGGGCATCTCTAGATAGTGTTATGAGGCAACTTAAATACCAAATCTACAGGCAGGTGATGGACAGGAGGCAGGAAACACTGGATGGAAAACCAGCCGCCAGCCTCGTGCAGAGTGAGCCGACCGGGCAGTGCAGGGCCTCTCTCCTGGGCTCTGCGGCCGGGTGGGGGCCACTCCTGCGCTGCAACGGCCTGGGACGGGCTTGGGAGTGTGCTGACGTGTTGTCTGACTGTAGGAACCAGAGGTGGTGTGTGTGTGTGTGTGTCTGTGTGTGGTGGGACTCGGTGTCACAGGAGCACCTGGGGGCAGGCTGCCTCAGGTAACAGGTGTCATCAGAACTGTGCCCCTGCCCGTGACAGCCCGGGAACGGATGGAGGCTGGTTGTCCAAGTACATCACCAAGTCTGGGGAGCCCAGGCCAGTCCTCTCTGGCTCGTCATGCCATCCGATCTGGCTCTGTGTCGTGGCTCCTCTCTCCCTACCAAATCCTGCTCCTCCCCTGGCTCCTCCCCCATGGAGTCCTGCTCCTCCCCCTGGCTCCTCCCCATGGAGTCCTGCTCCTGCCCCTGGCTCCTCCCCATGGAGTCCTGCTCCTCCCCCTGGCTCCTCCCCATGGAGTCCTGTTCCTCCCCTGGCTCCTCCCCATGGAGTCCTGCTCCTCCCCCTGGCTCCTCCCCATGGGGTCCTGCTCCTCCCCCATGGGGTCCTGCTCCTGACCTTCATCCTGTGTCAATACTGTCCTGGGCCTTGTTTCCAGTCGAGGAAGGACAGAAGGACTGAGAGGGCCTGACGTGGGAGGGAGATGGCTCTCTGGCAATCGCTCGCTCTTTTACGTGGAAGGGAAGCTCTCGGCAAGTCTTTGCCCCCCCGCCCCCAAGCTGGCCAGTGGCCATCCCACCATCCCTGCTGCTGTGGCCGGGATGGAGAGCTCGGAGCCCGGCCTGCTGCGAGGGGCACTGAGCACAGTGGCAGCGCCTGCTTGGAGCGCCCACGTGTTTACCAGGACACGCGTGCCGTCACGGGAAACGGCTTCCCCGGTCACAGTTTCACGTTTGTCCTTGTGGACCTGACGGTGGGAGGTTCACGTTTGCTCAGAACCTGAGCCTGGGCTGTGCTAACGGGGAGCGGTGCATCATGTGTGAGTCTATGCGAGAGAGTGTTCAGGCAGTTTGTTCGCATGATGATGGTGCTGGGCTTGTTTTAAAGATAACTGGCAATCGCTCTGCTTTCTAACCAACCCTGCCACCCGCCTGGCGCCCGGCCCGGTGCCGTCCCCTCCGGTGCCTCGGCCCCGGGAGCAGGGCATGCGCTCCGAGTCCCGGAGGAAAGTCCGCGCGGGGACCCTGGCCACAGCCTGTCAGTGCTGCGAGTCCGGCCGCTGCTCACACGCCGCCCGGAGGCTGCAGGGAGGGCTGGTGCCGCCCTGCCTGGCCGTCTCCGCTTCCGTGTGAAGACCCGCTGTCGTTTCTCTCCGCAGGCTTCGGTGCTGGCTGCAGAAAGCGACCCGTACGGGCCTTTGCCGCCAGGCTGGGGTAAGCGAACGTGTTGGTGGTAAAAATATCTGCCGGGTGCATATTGAAATGGTTATTAAATGCTGTGTTCACTCTGTTTTTAGAAAAGAGAGTAGACTCAACAGACAGAGTTTACTTCGTGAATCATAACACAAAAACGACGCAGTGGGAAGACCCAAGAACTCAAGGGTACGTCCCTACCCCAGCCTGGCCTCCGTCCCCTGTGCCTGTGGCTGGAACCAGGTGACCCTGACCCACGCCCTCGGTGCCTGGAGGCCGCCTCATGGCCCTGTCTCTCAGCTCACAGAGCGAAGAGCCCCTGCCCGAGGGCTGGGAGATCAGGTACACGCGGGAAGGCGTGCGGTACTTCGTGGACCATAACACCCGGACCACGACCTTCAAAGACCCACGCAACGGGAAGTCGTCCGTGTGAGTGGCAGCCGGGCCCTTCCTGCTGTTTCCTCGGGGCGCAGAGCAGCTGCTGGCTCAGCTTCGCCTTGGGACCAAGAAACGTGTCCCCTCTGTCAGCTCCCGGGAGCAGCCGTGTGCTCAGCGGGCGCGCTCCCTGTCCGGGAGGGCCGGCGCCCCTGCCTCGCGTCCGTGTGCGGAGCGAATGCCCTTGACCCGGCTGCACAAGGACTCCCTCCGTCCCAGTGTCCCCTCGGGCAGGCGGCGAAAGCTCTCGGCGAGGCTCAGGCTCGCTGGGCAGGAGAGCCAGGCGCGGCCCCGCCTGCTGCCCACTTGGCCCTTCTCCCTGGCCCCTGAGCCGCCGGCCCGGGCTCCCATCTGGCTGTGCTTACCGTCTGTTTCCGTCTCTGCTCTGGGTTCAGGTGCAGACTTGCCTCCCGTCCCTCTGTGCAGGTCCTCTGGCCTCGGTTAAGGTCACCACTCTGAGTGGGGTGCGTGTTGCTCTAACTGCGTCTCCACAGAGCCCGGTCCCAGCTCGGCCTCGTCCGTGTGCGGGTCAGGGTCCTGCTGCCCAGCCTGGCGCTGGGGGTCCGGCCACCCTGCCGAGCTGACGCGCCGCTCTCTCCTCCAGAACGAAAGGCGGCCCGCAGATCGCCTACGAGCGCAGCTTTCGGTGGAAGCTGGCTCACTTCCGGTACCTGTGCCAGGTAAGGGGCGCGGCCCCGCCCCGCCCCGCCCCGTCCTCTGCACGCAGCGCTTTCCGCTCACGCTTCACCGTGGGGTTTGTTTTGTTGTTTCTAGTCCAACGCGCTCCCCAGCCACGTGAAGATCAACGTGTCCCGGCAGACGCTGTTCGAAGATTCCTTCCAGCAGGTGAGGCTCGCTCAGAAGCCGGAGGCCGGCCTGTGGTCAGCGGCGTTAGGCACTGGCGCCTGTAGAAGGCAGCGGCATGGCATTTCACTCGCCCCACGCACCCTGCGCCTGGCGGGCCAGGCGGGGCTGACGGCCACTCTTTCCGCCCGGCGAGGTGGCAGGTGGAGCCTCCCAGCTGCTGGGACGAGGGGCACGTTGACACTTAGCTGAGATCTCACTGACTGGCAAAGGTCTTGGTCACCTACCCCGTTAAATGGACGGGGTAAGCTACGCAGTCGTTTGCATGCGCCTGTCTAACCCTGCGCCGGCCCGCGTGAATGCCGTGCTCCCGAGGCGCTGGCCCCTGCCGGTGGCTGGGTGCCCGTGGGGCCGGTGCCCGGAGCGCCCAGTGTACAGCCAGCCCGTGGTGGGCGGGAAGCGGGCAATGGGTCTGCTTGCCGAGTCCTCCACACAACCTTTCAGGGTGAAGCAGTGGTGAGGGGAGAGCTCCTCACGGAAGTCCGTCCTGTCTCCCACATCCTGCCAGGACCCGGGCCTGGGTGTCAGGGCCGCTCCCCATGCGGGGCAGGGCTCCCCGCAGCTGCCACAGCTGGTGACCGCTTAGTAGAGGCAGAGGCCCGTCCGCGCTGAGCTGTGCTTCGGGGAGTGGGTCTGTGCTCAGGGCTGCCTGTGCTCTGGGCTCGCCTGGGACGGGCATGGCCTGTTGGATGTGCAGCCGCGGCTCAGGTGCCCGCCTGGGCCTGACCACGCGTGTAGCCGCGGCTCGGGTTCTGGAGTGGGATGGGGCTCACCACTCTCCAGCGGGAAGCCTAGTCCCTGGATCGGAAGCCAGCAGGGGTCGCGCACACGGCCGGCGGCGGTCGTGAACACTCACCGCGGCGCATGCTTCCTGCTCCAGCCGAGCCCTCCTCCTGGAAACTGGAGGGCACAGGGCTGAGCAGGGCTCGGCTTCTCCCTCAGCGGCTGCTCCGCTCCTGCAGGCCTGGGGGGAGCTCTGGGGACGTGAGGGAGGAATAGTCTCCAGCCTTCAAGAGGCGCTGACCCAGGGTACAGCACAGCAAGTGCAGGGTGGAGACACCGAGGGGAGAGCCGAACCGCACTCAAGCCAGCTGCCTGGTCTGCAGGTGCAGGCGGTACTGTGTGACGTAAGGAAGGGTGTAGCTTTGAAAATACAGATGAAATCTACATTGCATTGTTTAGGTTTTTTTATTTGGGGAGTTTTTAAATATATCTTATTGATTTTTTTTTTTACAGAGAGGAAAGGAGAGGGATAGAGAGAGAAACATCAATGAGAGAGAAACATTGATCAGCTGCTTTTTGCACACTCCCTACTGGGATATGCCCACAACCTGGGATCCAACCTGGGACCTTTGAGTCCACAGGCCAACGCTTTATCCATTGAGCCAAACGGGTTAGGGCCCAGGTTGGCAAACTGTGGCTTGGGAGCCACATGCACCTCCTTGGCTCCAAAATACCACAGCCTGGGCGAGTCTATTTTGAAGAAGTGGCATTAGAAGAAGTTTAAGTTTAAAAAATTTGGCTCTCAAAAGAAATATCAATCATTGTACTGTTGATATTTGGCTCTGTTGACTAATGAGTTTGCCGACCACTGGGTTAGGGCATGTTGCATTGTTTTTAGAAGAAACTGTACTACATGTTTGTGTTTCATGTCCCTGTTTCTTTGTAGATTATGGCATTAAAACCCTATGACCTGAGGAGGCGACTCTATGTAATATTCAGAGGAGAAGAAGGACTTGATTATGGTGGTTTAGCAAGGTAAGCTAACGCATCTGCTTTTTTTTTTTTTTAAGTTTTTAAAAAATATATTTTATTGATTTTTTACAGAGAGGAAGGGAGAGAGATAGAGAGCTAGAAACATTGATGAGAGAGAAACATCGACCAGCTGCCTCCTGCACACCCCGTACCGGGATGTGCCCGCAACCAATGTACATGCCCTTGACCGGAATTGAACCCGGGACCTTTCAGTCCGCAGACCGACGCTCTACCACTGAGCCAAACCAACTTTGGCACAATCCAGTGTTATTTTAAAAATCAAAATTAGCCGAAACCGGTTGAGCGTCGGCCTGCGGACTGAAAGGTCCCAGGTTCGATTCCGGTCAAGGGCATGTACGTTGGTTGCGGGCACATCCCCAGTAGGGGTGTGCAAGAGGCAGCTGATCTATGATTCTCTCTCATCGATGTTTCTAACTCTATCCCTCTCTCTTCTTCTCTGTTAAAAATCAATAAAATACATTTTTTTAAAATCAAAATTAAAATAGGTGCATAATTCTAGAGGTAACCACTAGTATTGCTCTCATGGCCTCCTCATTTCTCTCCATGTGTACATGTGTGTCTGCGTGTGCTGTGCATGTGTTCGCTGTGTTTACATGTGGACATCTCTTCTCGTCCCTGTGGAGCCAGCTCTCCGCAGCGCTGCCCTGGCCCCCGTGCAGGCGCCGTCCCTCACGGGCAGCTGCAGGCCGCCCATGGCGCCCACGGTGCGCAGCCGGTGTGTCTGTGTTGTTAATCCAGTCGGAGTCCTGCGAGCGTTCAGTTGTCCACATTCATTCACTCTACTGAACAGGAGACACTTAGGAGCTGTGGTTGGAAATCCTTTCAGTGTTTCCCAAGTTGCTTTGGGCACACATAGTTTGACAGTAATTTAGTTTTTAGCAAAATATTTTTATGAAGTCTTTCCGAAGAATTAAACTTGCTCTCATCGAGACAAGTCCCTCTCTGACCACATGTTTACAGGCCAGGCCCACCAGGCGCAGCAGGAGGGAGGAGGGGGCATCAGCTTTGGTTGAATTAGAATGTTGTCTCGTTTTAAGGTCTTTTGAAAAAGCATCACTGCCTGTCAGAGTAAGTGTCCATATACGTCTGTTGTGTCCCACGGTGGGAAAGTTGGGCACTGCGGGCAGGCAGGTGCGCTCAGGAACGATGCCGGTGGTTTGCACAGCTCAGACTTCAGTTGTCTGAGCCTCTCGCCGCCCCTGCTGGGCTTAGTTTTACTCTGACACGTTATTGCAGGCAGGCAGCTCCCGGACTATGCTTCCTTCTCCCCACGCCTTGTTTAGATGGTGTGTTGCTTTTGGCTCACTCAGAATTCACACGGTGGCTGCTCCCTGCCCGTTCAGAAGGGCTGTTCTGTTGCCTTGGTGTACACACGGCAGCTTGGCCGATGGAGATGGCTCGCACGAAGGCCGTGCGGACTCGCCGCCTCCCTCTGGCGTGGCTGTGGACAGGGTTCAGTCCTTGGCCTTGGCGCTCATTGATGTCAGGGTTGCGGTTTATAGATAAAGGTGGTTTCAGGAGCGTAGCACGCTCTTCCTTGACGTAGGGTCGTTTTCTCTGTTGTGTGCCTGAGTCCTTTTCGGTTCCGTGTCCCTTCTCCTCAGGAACGCCAGTCGGGGGGGTGGGGGGGGTCTCCTCCGCCTCGGCTCTTTCTCTTGTGCTTTCCCCTGTGTCTTGGTGCCCCCACTGGCCCCACGCCCTTTGCAGTGCTGCCTCCTGCTGCTGCGAGATTTCCTCTGGCTCTGCTGGCTCCTGCGCTCAGGGTTCTCAGCTCTGGGTCCTCCTTTGTTGGCGGGAGGAGGGGTGTGCTGTATGCTGCTCTCAGAGTGTCCGTCTTCCCGCTGTGCAGCCAGGCCAGGGGCCAGGTGTTCTCCGAGCTGTGTTTGCTGGCAGGGATGTGCAGCAGAGGACTGGCTGCTCTGGGCCCAGCCCTTCTTGGCCTGGCCCGGCCCCTCCCCTCGGGCACACAGGAAGTCCTGGGATTAGCTGTAGGAAGTGGCTCCTAGGTCCTATCACTTCTGAGCTGATTTTGTCTGGGACTCCTTCCTGGTCAAAAAACATTTGTCAATAGGCTGCCAGGCTGGGTCTAGCTCCCATTTTTATTGTAAATTTTAAAAATTGCTTGACAACATTAAAGACAATTACTAGATTATGCTTAAGAATAAAGATTTCAGGGTTTTTTGTTTTAAAGTTTGATGTTCTCAAGTGGCATCGATTGGCTGGATCAGAGGCGCTGCAGGGATTGTATTGGGCACTCACTCCCGTGCCAGCTCTGCCTGTCAGAGGACTGATTGTATGCCTAGAAATCACTGTGCTTTAAACAGATAAAACTTCGATTAGGGATGGGGAGATGGGGGGAAAGGGTTGTGGCCCTTGTGCCCAATCACCAGCCACTGCATTGGAGCTGCTTTAGAAGAAATGGAGCTTTCTTTGTCATAGAAGTTATTAATCTTTACGTAGCTGCATTTCACCGATTAGACACCTATAAATGAGGCAGCATAGGAGGTAATAAGTCATAGAATGGTTATCACGTTTAAAGAGGCTGCCTTCTCATTTCAGTTCCGTTTTAATGCATTGGTGGTAAACCAGGGCCCGCGGCGCCAGGCTGCGATCGGGGTCAGCAGGAGGCCCTGCCCTGCGTTGTGGAGTGAGGGTCACACAGCTGTCCACGGGGTGGCCTCCCCGTCGGGGAACTGACAGTCCGGGAGGGGCAGGTTGTCTGCTGGAAAGAACCCCCAGCTGCTGGGCGGTGTGAGTGGGACGGAGAGAACCGAGTGCGGGCCCTGGTGTGGGGGCGCCGGCAGACTTGCCCTGTCTTCCCAGGGAATGGTTTTTCTTGCTCTCCCACGAAGTCCTGAACCCCATGTACTGCTTGTTCGAGTACGCGGGCAAGAACAACTACTGCCTGCAGATCAACCCCGCGTCCACCATCAACCCGGACCACCTCTCCTACTTCTGCTTCATCGGCCGCTTCATCGCCATGGTGAGCCGGCGGGCGCGGCAGACGCACGTGCTGACCTGTGTCTGCTCAGCCGGGTGGCTTGTAGCTCCGCCTTCCCAGGGCAGAGGGAGCCTCGGGCAGGGCTCCGGGTGCAGTTCTGGCCTCTGGGACCGAGGCCACACAGTCGGGCCTCGGTTTGCTGCAGACTTCGCTGCTGGTAAAGACCTGCGGTTGGGGGCAGGGCACCAGACCTGCGGGCGGTGCGGGCAGGGAGGCCTGGGGGGAGGAGGGAGGGTGTCGAGGGAGGCCCATGTGTCCCCTTGCTTCGGCTTCCTGAGGTGGCAGGGTCCTGGCAAGAGCCAGCCGGGGAGCTGGGTTTGGTTTGCTGGGTTCGGACTCCGGTGGACGGTGGGGGGACGGCGGCAGGAGGGGCAGCGAGGGGAGGCTGCGTGCACAACCAGGCGCAGGTGTGGCTGGTGGAAGCCAAGGGCCTGTGCCAGGAAGAGGAGCTGAGAGGAACCAGGAAGAGCCGAGGAGGAGGGCTGAGCTCCAGGGGACTGGTGACAGGAACGGAGAGGGAGGGCTGTCCCGTCAGTGGGGGGGCTGTGGGCAGGTGGAGCAGGGCACGTGGTGGCGGGGGAGCCTGCGAGAGAGCAGAGGGCCAGGAAGTGTGTGAGGGCCAGAGGCAGGCAGTGCAGGCAGATGTAGGTGGAGAGTGAGGGGCCAGCGTCCCTCTGCTGCTGCTGATGGTGCAGAGAGAGGAGAAGCCAGCAGGGCTCGGAGCGCCAAGAGGCCTCGCAGAGCTGGGCGTGAGCCGTGGGACCCGGCGGAGGCTGTGGGCCTGCGTGGGCGCCTCGGCTGGAGGCTGAGTGCCGGGTTCCAGGCGTGGGGTTCGAAGGGGGCATCTAAGGTGACAGAAGGCGGCAGTCCTGGGCTTAGGGCCCAGGCGGAGGTCGCTGCTGTGACAGCCACAGGTTCCCAGCCGGGTGCAGGTGGGTGCACCAAGGCGACTAAGGGATCTCGGGGACCGCCCCCACGGCGGCCCTGACAGGTGCTGAGCGGGTTCCTGAGGTCCAGGCCCTGAAAGGGCCGAGAGCCGGCCCGGGAAGCTCCCGCATGCTGCTGGGACCCGCAGGACCTGTACTGACCCAGCTCTGAGCCCAGGCGGCCGGGCCACAGCCATGTGCAGGGCCCCGAGCAGGGAAGGCAGGGCGTGTGGGCAGCCCTGAGCCCCGGCACAGTGGGGCGAGCAGGGCCGGGCGTCCTGGTTAGAAAGTGCTCGCGGGGGGCCTCGGTGACGTGCCCTCGGGGGGAAGCCGTCTGCAAACTCCCAGCAGCGCTTTGTCCTCTCGCAGGCGCTTTTCCACGGGAAGTTCATCGACACCGGCTTCTCCTTGCCCTTCTACAAGCGCATGCTGAGCAAAAAGCTGACGATTAAGGACCTGGAATCCATCGATCCGGAGTTTTATAACTCCCTCATCTGGATAAGGTTGGAGGGTGATCTCACTGCGGCATTTTCTGGAAACCAGCTGGTCTGTCTCTGAGTCAGAGTGTCTATGTTTCCCACCCAGAGACAACGACATCGAAGAATGTGGCTTAGAAATGTACTTCTCCGTGGACATGGAGATCCTGGGGAAAGTGACCTCGCATGACCTGAAGCTGGGCGGCGCCAGCATCCTGGTGACGGAGGACAACAAGGACGAGTACATTGGGTGAGGCTCCCGCGGCACTGACCGCGGCACTGACCTGTCCGCACCCCCTTTCCCGGTCCTCGTTTTCCTTCCCTCTCTCCGTGGCACCAGCAGGCCCTCAGCGGGACTCAGGTTCCGCCCTGCCGTCACGCTCCTCCTGTGCCCCTCCCACAGCAGAGCGAGGCTTTGTGGGGGTGACGGGGCCGCCCTGACTGACGAGCAGGGCTCATCTCCCAGGACATCTCACCTGTCCTCGCACTCTGCCCTGTCAGGTGCTCCCGGGTCCTCTTGAACTCTGACCCCACAACTCCCCTGCGGCGCCACCTCCCCTTGGTGCTGTCCTCCCCCACCTCCCCTGTGCGTGTCCCACCACAGCTTCTGTCCCAGCTTCTTCCTCCAGCTGCTCCGAGCTGTCAGCCCCAGGCCTTGTTCTGTGCGGGTCCTCCCCGAACCCGGCACTGCTCCATCTGCAGCCAGGTGCTCAGACTTCCCGCAGAGAACACCGGCCCGCAGCCCCGCCACGCGGCCCTGCCGGAGCTCAGGCAGCCTCCCAGGGGCAGGAGACCCGAATGCACGGCCACTGGCTGTCATGGCTTCAGAGCAGGGACTATTCTTCCTCTCAAAGTGGTCACCATTCTCTTATTAAAAACGTGAAGACTGTTAGCTCACACGCAGCACGAACAGCTCACAGGCCGACGGCCCTCCCCGGCCCTCCCGGCCACGGCCGGGCTTCTCACTTCCCCGCCGCCTGGGCCTGCTGCTGGCCCGCCCACCTCCTTCCAGACTCAGATTCTCCGTGTCTGCCTTTCAGATTCCTCATGTTTGCTTTTCCTTTTAAATATATGTTTTTATTTGCATTGATTTCAGAGAGGAAGGGAGAAATAGACATCAGTGATGAGAATCATTGGTCAGCTGCCTCTGCACGCCCCCCCCACCCCCGAGGGTGGAGCCCACAACCGGGCATGTGACCTGACTGGGAATCAAACCCTGACCTCCTGGTCAGAACCACTACCTGGGCCTGTGCCCCAACCAGGATCGAGCTGCAGCATGTGGTGCCTGGGTGACGCTCACCCAGCGGAGCCCCGGCCAGGGCTGCCTGGCTTTCTGGTCGCCCACGCTGCGCTCCTCGGTAACACTCCCATCAGCTCCAGCTCGGGCCCCTGCAGGCCACACGGAGGCGCAAGCCCAGCCTGCTGCTCCGCCCCCGGGAGCTCCCCCGGGCAGTTCCTGGGCCAGGACTGGAATGGACATGCCATGAGCTCTCTGACCCTGCGGTCGTTAAGGTCCTGTGTCCCCTCCTCCTGCCCAGGCCACTCACAGCCTCCCTCTGAGTGGACTTTCCGAGGCGACGGCTGGCCTGTGCCTGGCCTCGGCGTGTCATTGCTCCTGGAAGAGCAGGCCGAGGCTGCCAGCCCTGCCGGGTGCTCCTCTGCTCCTCCCTCCACAGCTGCCCGCCGCCTCCAGCGCTGATCCTCCTCCTGCGCGTCCCCCTGAATGTTCGGACCCTCCGGCCCTCCCAGAGACCGCGGGAGCCCTTCCGAGCAGGGACACACCCCTCGGTCCAGCACGTGCCCTGCTGTCCCTGTGGTGGCCACGCCTTGAATCCCACCCCACCCTTTACAGCTGCACGTGTGCTGGGCTGATGTCCTCAGGTGGACGCGTGTTACCTCAAAAACTGCACATGTACCGTTTTGTGGGGCGGAACGAACGGTGTGTGTAAAAAGCGCTGTTCTGAGCCTCAGTGACCTCTGACCGTCTCCGCAGCCTCATGACCGAGTGGCGCTTCTCGCGTGGCGTGCAGGAGCAGACGCAGGCCTTCCTGGACGGCTTCAACGAGGTGGTGCCCCTGCAGTGGCTGCAGTACTTCGACGAGAAGGAGCTGGAGGTGAGGCTCCGGGGCTGTGTCCTCGGAAATCGAGAGGCGGCTGGCGTCCACAGATCCCGCGGCGCAGCCGGGCGCGCCTCCCCGGGGCTCCCGGCCGCCGGCCTGGCAGTCAGCGGCCAGACCAGGGGCCTCCCGGGGACAGCTGTGCCTCGTGGGGGCCTCCAGGAGGCCTGGTTTGGGAGCGAGTTGCCCAACGGTCAGATTTTATTTTTTACTTTTTTTATTGATTACAGAGAGGGAGAGATACCTAGAAACATCAATGATGAGAGAGAATCATTGATTGGCTGCCTCAAACCTGCAACCCAGGCATGTGCCCTTGACCGGAATCGAACCTGGGACCCTTCAGTGCACAGACCAATGCTCTGTCCACTGAGCCAAATGGCGAGGGCTGTAGTTCTTTGTATCAGCTGCATACCAGACTTTTGCCAGAATAACTTCTCTATATTCCCACGGTTCTGTGTGCTATCCCTCAAATAGGCAGACCTGTGTCTTAGAGCCTTTGCATTCTCTTTGTCGCTGGACTGCTGCTCTCAGATCCGCAGACCTCCCCGTCACTGTTCCACTGGCCCTTTCTGTGAGGCATTCCTCACACTTCCCGTTTGAAAGAGGCACCCCCTTCTGTGTTCTCTGCATAGCCCACACCCTAGGACAGCTGTATTTGTTGCTCACTGTCTTCTGTGTAAAGAATAGTACTGAACAAGATGACCCCAGCCATCCTATATAATAAAGAGGTAATATGCAAATTGACCATCACTCCAACACACAAGATGGCTGTCCCCATGTGGACACAAGATGGCTGGCAGAGAAGGGCAGTTGGGGGTGATCAGGCCAGCAGGGGAGGGCAGTTAGGGGCAATTGGGCCAGCAGGGGAGCAGTTAGGTGTCGATCAGGCTGGCAGGGGAGTGGTTAGGGGGTGGTCAAGCAGGCAGGCAGAAGTGGTTAGGAGCAATCAGGCAGGTAGGCAGGCAGGCAGGTGAGCAGTTGGGTACCAGGAGTCCCAGATTGTGAGAGGGATGTCCCAGTTTGGAGAGGCTGCAGGCTTGGCTGAGGAACACACACACACCAACCCCCTCCTCCCCACTAAGTGCACAAATTTCATGCAGCGGGCCTCTAGTAAAGAATATAGCACTGCGGATACATTCAGGGATGACGAGCCACGTTCTGAGCCTGTACCTGAGGAGGTTTTCATTCATGTGGTCACGGATCTCTTACCCAGAGCGAACCTCCGAGTGTGGTCCCTCCAGACCCTCCCTAAATGGCCGCACCGAGAGCAAGAAGGAACCCGGGTCCCACTTGCCCCCAAAAGAACTGTTGGATCTCAGCCCACGGAGTCGTGTGGAGTCCATCTTGGCCAGCGCTTTGCACAGGAAGGAAGTGATGATGTCTCATCTTTTAGGGGCCCGGCTGAGACTTGCACCCTGCCCTCACCTTCCGGCCGGGGAACCTTCCGGCCCCCTGGCCAGCAGTGAGGACAGACGGAGCCTCGGCTCTCCTTCACGTCCGATGATGGACCTTGAGCTGGGGAAGAAAGGGCTGCAGGAGGGCCCAAGGACCAGATTTTAAAGCCATGGGCTCCTAGCCGCCTCCGCTGCACTCAGCCTTGTGGGAAGCCTGCCAGCACATACCTCACACTACCAGCTTGACTATGGGTCAGTGTTCGTGCACTCACAGGTACACAGCAGACAGCCAGAACTTCCGTCCTGAAAAACCGACGCCCACCAGTCACCTCCATACTCCCTCCCAGCCCTAGCACCTTGTTTCCTTGTCTGCCAGCTTTTGCCAGCACAAATGAATAACTGTTTTTAAGGAAATGAGAGCATGCATTTAAAAAAAGAAAGTACTAGAAATTTGTTAGAAACTCATCGATAACTTGGGCCCTCGGTTAGGGTGTGTGCAGCAGAGGAGGTGCCTTGTAGCACAGCTGCTTGTGTTTTTGAGGCTGCTCTGGCTCAGCGAGCCTGGAGGACTAGTCTGCGCTGCGGGATAAATGCCCGGCTGCAGGCGGCACCGCGGCTGACGCAGCCTCGCCCCCAGGTGATGCTGTGCGGCATGCAGGAGGTGGACCTGTCCGACTGGCAGCGGAACACCGTGTACCGGCACTACACCCGGAACAGCAAGCAGATCATCTGGTTCTGGCAGGTAACCGCTCTCCTTTTCCAGGACAGTGCTCCGCTTACCCTGCAGCTTGCTTCCAACGTGACTGACGGACACACAGCCAAGCTTGCTGGCTGCATCCTGGTGAGAATGAGTGCGTCTCCTCTAAGGAGTGTCACGGAGTGACTCACAGGTCCGGCAACTTCAGAGTCTCCTCCAGGTGCTGTGAGAGCAGGGGGCATGTGTTTATGAGACAGTCTAGGGGGACACTGAAGTGACACGAGGTGGTGTGTGCTCAGAGTTAGAGCGCCCGCAGGGCAGGGGCCTCCATGTCCCATGTACTGATCTTGAGAACGAGCTTTTGTTTTGTGTGTCTCTCAAAATACAAAATGTCTGCACCCGGGACAGACTTCACAGAACCCGTCAGACTCACGAGCCCGGGCTGATGGGCTGGTCTGCTGTCTCGGGGAGCGTGCACTAGAGAAAGGCTGTGTGTCCTAAGGACTGTCACTTCACTGCTGGCGCTTCCGGAAACGGGTCTTAGAGCTCTGATCTAACTGCCCAGCACCACCTCCCAGCAAGCGGAGGTGGCCTGAGGGTGTGGGGAGGGGCCGAGCGATTAACTGTCCCTCAGCGCTCAGCCCTGGAGCCCTCCTCGATGCAGAGGGGAGGGACACGGGCCAGTGCACAGAGCCTGGGGGGCGGGAAGGGGGTGTTTGGCTCTAAGGATCCTCCGTGCAGAGGAGCTTGGGGATGGGAGCAGGCCGCTGAGGCCGAGGGGGAGCTGCCCTGAGTGCCAGGCAGCCTCGTCCCTTCCCTTAGCTTACCCCAGCCGGTCAGTTTACATGTCTAAGCCTGCGGGGCAGAGCCCAGGCCTCCTAAGGCCCGAGACTGCTTGCGGGTGTGGCTGGTGTTGGGGACAGCTGCTCAGCGGTGCCGTATCTGCCGAGTGTGTCAGCGCACAGCTGTGCACGGCCACGTCCGGGCTGGGCTGGCACTCACTCAGCTGCCTGTCAGACACGCGTCTGCTCGCTGGTAAGACCAGCTCAGAGGCGGCCGCCCCTCACTGCTCTGGTGTCCAGTCTGCAGGGCACAGGGGGGCAGTGTTGGGAGGAAGGCAGGCCCTGGTTCAGGGGTTACTCCTGTCCCTCACGGGCCCAGGAGGAGGACATGTCGTTTTACCGCAGGGCCTTGTCTCTGCGCGTGCAGTGGGGAGGCTGAGGGAAGGGCTGGCCCCCATACTGAGGGCTCACCCAGCAGCACGTGGTGCTCGCTGTGGGGCAGGGCCCTTCCCGTTCCTTCAGCGGGAGGACCTGGCCCAGGGAGAACGTGTCCGAGCTTCCAGCCTCCCGTGTCCCTGGCGCAGCGCCAGCCCTAAGAAGCCATAGTGCTGCAGCCGCTTTATCACTCACCTTCTGAACCGACTTTTCATCTTAAAAAACTTTGGAAGATATTTGTGTTGATTTGGGGAGGGAGAGAGAATCACTGATTGGCTGCCTCCTGCACCCTCCCCTCGGATGGAGCCTGCAACCAGGGATGTGTCCTGACCAGGAACCGAACTCTGGCTTCCTAGTTCGTAGGTCCACCCTCAACCACTGAGTGACTGGCTGGGCTTGACATTCATTCTTCAATTTCTTTAAGCAATTCAGGAATAATTTTAAATATCTACTATCTTCTTTACTTAAGATAACCCGGAATTTACATCAACTTTGCCCTGTTACAGTTTGTGAAGGAGACGGACAACGAGGTGAGGATGCGTCTGCTGCAGTTTGTCACAGGGACCTGCCGCCTGCCCCTGGGTGGCTTCGCCGAGCTCATGGGTGAGTGGCCCTCGGCCGCTGTGGTCACAGGCGGGCGGGCGGCGGGTGGAGGCGGCAGCGGCTCCAGATCCTGGTCTTTGTGCAGATGCGACGCTTGCTGCTGTGCCCACTGCACTCGCTCCATCACTCGCATGACCACGTGACATGTTCTCTTAGGTAACTAGCTGTCAACCCCAAGGGTCTGAAGGACCAGGTAAATGTTGTCTTGCTTTTCTGGTTTAGGAAGTAATGGGCCTCAAAAGTTTTGCATCGAAAAAGTTGGGAAAGACACCTGGTTACCAAGAAGCCATACGTGGTAAGTTGGATCCTAAGTGGAAGGGGAAGCCGGTGTTGAGCCGTTCTAAATGTAAGGCCCGTTATCACCGAGTTCATCAGTGTGGGCAGAGGGCAGTTTGGAGAACAGAGTGGGATGCAGTGAGCACCACCGCAGGCCCTGGCAGGTCCAACCCAGCGCCGGCGAGCATGGCCCTGCCTGAGCCAGCGGCGAGCCGGCCGGAGCCGGCGGAGGCAGCCCGTGCTCCGCCGCCCGCTCCCAGAGGCGCACAGCCCACAGCCGGCAGCGGAGCTGGGCGGGCGGGGCAGCCGCCGCAGGACCTCGGAAGGGCCCTGCCAGTGTGATGGACGGTGGGCGGTGGAGACGCAGAAGCACATGCTTTGTACAGGGCTGTTTGCAAACCCCTGAAGTGAACCACTGCAGACAGTGAGGGGACGTGGGAGCGGGCGGGCGGAGGGGCCGGCAATGCAGGCAGGTCCACTGCAGGGCCGGCCTGTGTGATCTGGAAGGGGACAGACTGCTGTCAGACGGTGTCTGTGTTATGAAAGTCGGTGCCATAACACTTCTCCACCGTCTTTTCAAATGTGCTTAAGGGTACCGTGTAGACCCTCCGCTCACCTGACTGCATAATCTGATTCTGTCTGTCCAGTTTCAATCGCCTGGACCTGCCGCCATATAAGAGTTACGAGCAACTGAAGGAAAAGCTGCTTTTTGCCATAGAAGAGACCGAGGGGTTTGGACAGGAATAAAGGAGCCGTGGCCAGAGGCTCTGCGTCCACACCTCTGCAGACATAAAAGGCTCCGTTCTCACTGAATATGCAAAAGACCTCTCCTTTTCTACTTTATTTATTGTTCCCTTGAACTGACTGACCAGGAAAACGATCTCCCTTAACTTTGGAAGTGAGACTTTAGCGGTTCTAGTTTTATAGAGCTGCTCGGCGCCACGCCAACTCCTGCCCACGTCCGGATACTCCTCCTCAGCTCTGCCCGCCCGCCCCCTCCCCTCCCCTGACATCTCCACCCGGTGTGGTTCAGGAAGGCTCTGAGGCCAAGGCCAGACCTGACAGATGTGAGCTGCGCTGCTGGCTGCTCTTTAGACGGTGCTGAGCCGTCAGTCTGTTGGAATTAAACGCAAGAGCTGAGCGCGCTCACCGCGCCGCGACAAGGGGGTGAGTGGCAGCAGCGTGGACGGAGTCCCCTGACCAGGCCAGCGCCGTCTGGCCCAGCGCCTGGGCCTGCAGGTGCGCTCCTCCGGGTGCTAGCACCTGTGGGGCTAAAGCAGGCAGCCTGCACTATTGAGAACGTGATGGTCTTTACTGTGAATGCACAGTAAGTGGATGCGATCTGATACTGAGGGACATAAAGGTAATGTCAACTTTTCCACAAACTGTCACAAGTTTCGGTTCCTAAAACCAGATGGATTGGAAGAGTTCATGAGCATCTGACTTCCAACTAATGAGTCTAATGATTTCCTACTAGTGTCTTAATATCTCCATTCCTTGAAAATTCATGAAAAAATTCTATGTATCTGAATTAAATAAGCATATAAAGAAGTCTTTTGTCCTCCCCCCCCCTTTCTATATAGATCATTATTTTTGTCCTAAGTAAATACTTTTTAATTATTTTTCATTATCAAGGGCATTTGCTGAACTACAAATACGTATAACAAATTAAAATCTGATGTGAATGACATTAATGCTACTTTAGCATATGGGGGCTTCCTTATTAATACAAAAATTTAAATTTGTATTATTTCAACATGCACTGTAAATTAACTTAAAATTTTTTATAACCACGGAAGTAATACCTTAGAATGTTAATATATTTCACTGCTGAGTACATATGAAAAATATCAGTATACCATTTAATTTCCCTAAAGTTTGTTTTGCCAAAATTTTATTTTTCTATGTATATTAGAGATTGTGTTCTGCATTTTCTCAAACTCACAGTAAAGATGCAATAAAGGCAGTGACCCATGTGGTTGAATGACTCTTTTCCCAGCCCTCACAGCCCACCCAGGCCCCGGAGACGTGCCTGTGCAGACCCAGCAAAGCCCTCTTCCCTCAGACAGCTCCCGCCGAGCAAAGGACATGTGTCACGTGACCCCATAGCCCTCGCCCAAGTCCAGTGATGCCCCGGGACACGGCCCACACGGAGACAACGTGAGCACCACAGCATCGCACAACTGCCACCAGGACAACGTGTCCAATTGGGGTGTCCTACACTCCCACTCTCCTCGCCCCGCGCTGGCCCCGGGCCAGACAGACGACCCGGCACTGAAGCTCCCGACACCAGCTCCTTCCTCTTTAAAGGGAGGGAGTCTGAGGCATTCCCGCAGCGTCGGTCTCCGCTCACAGGAGGGAGAGCTTGCTAACAAGAAGTTGAGACTTTCAGGTTCTCACAGAACAGCAGACCCTTTGCAAGGTCAGGTTGCCAGCCTCAAAAGGAGGACACATGTCTGCAGGGCGGTCACCAACCACTGCCAGACGGCACACACTGTCCAGGGCGCACACGCGGGGGAAGGAGCCGGAGGCAGGGCCGCCCAGGGAGGACACCTGGGTCCGGAAGCAGGTAGAGTCTGGCCTGAGGGAAGGGTGGGCATCAGGCTCCTCGATCTAAGACTGCTTGCCTTCACACAATCACTGCTAAGAGACCGAGCTGGGAAGGGGCCTCGTCCTGGAGGAAGGAGCCCCCCTAGTCCCAGGGAGGAGATGCCTCAGGCTCCGCAGGGCCCAGCAACCACACCGCTGAGCTCTACCCCAGCCATGTGGGTCCCTACGGTTCACCGCACAAAGGCCCCACGGCACCGTCACGGATTAGGTTAAATGCACAGGAACAGCCAGACAGTGAATCCTACCTAATAAAAGAGTAATATGCAAATTGATCACCACTCCAATACACAAGATGGCTGCCCCTATGTGGTCAAAGATGGCCAACAGGAGAGGACAGCTGTGGGTGATCAGGCCTTCAGGAGAGGGCAGTTGGGTGAGACCATGCAAGGAGGGGAGGGCAGTTAGAGACAATTGGTCTGGCATGGGAGCATTTAGGCATCGATCAGGCTGGCATGGGAGCATTTAGGCGTCAGACTGGCAGGCAGAAGCAGTTAGGGGCAATCAGGCAGATACGCAGGTGAACTGTGGAAGCCAATAGTCTTGGATTATGAGAGGGACTTCCAACTGCCTGTTTAGGGATCGGACCCAAACGGGCAGTTGGACATCCCTCCAGGGGCCCCAGATTGGAGGGTGCAGGATGGGCTGAGGGACACCCCCCCCTCCCCCGTGTGCATGAATTTCATGCATCAGGTCTCTAATACAGTCAATAAAAGGAGACGGATATTAAACTAAGCAAACAAAGCCAGTCTCCTGAAATGACAAAACAAGAGAGCACAGGTCAGGGGGCGGAGTGGGTAGGACTTAGGGACGCACCAGGAACCAGGGAGCTGTGAGTGCAGGCAGGCGGTCTCCCTGGGAGACGATCACACCCACTCGTGCGCACTCAGTGCCCAGCTGGCAGGCAGACTCGCTGCTACAGCCACATCTGGGCACGCAAGGCAGATGCACAAAGAAAAGCTAAAAAGCTCCTTCCCCGCAGCAAAAAGCTTCATTACTGAGCGATACCTCACTTCCCAGAGACCACTCGGCAGAGGGCAGCTTGCCCACACCTCGCCTCCCTCTGCTCACCTGCTAATCCCACACCAAGGCTCATCCAAAAAGCAGCCTCAGCCACTCCCATGAAAGTGTAAATGTAACGCTGGGCAGGGAAGCTCCAACATACATAACCAACTGGGCCGTGAAAGGCACAGGACCACTGGTTCTCAAAGGGGGATCTGTAAGGCCCACTGAACGAGAGATAATCTAAGACTGCTTGCCTTCACACAATCACTGCTAAGCAAAGATGGGGAGTGTTTCAGATTTCACAAAATGAAGGTAGGAAATCAAATGCAAGGTGTGACATTTGCATCTTGGTTTAAAAAGTGTAAGACATTGTGACATTTGAGGAAACAAAGGGCTGGGTATCAGATGAGCAGGGGGGTTGAGTTAGGGTTCTAGCTGGTGATGGACTGGGAAGGGGTCTGTATCCTGAGATAATGAAGTATTCGGCATGAACTACATAGTCTGTACTTAATTCAAGGTTCAGGAATATATATGACCACACACACACACACACACAGGCAGAATCTACATGTAACCAAATACACACGCACACAGGCAAAATCTACGTGTGACTACACACACACACAGGCAGAATCTACATGTAACCAAATACACACGCACACAGGCAAAATCTACGTGTGACTACACACACACACACACACACACACACACACAGAGGCAGAATCTATGTGTGACCACACACGGAGAGAAGCAGTCTACTTGTTTCCCTTTGTGTTTGACAGCACACATGAGAAACCAGGTGCTGGTCACGGGGACACCACACCTAGCCCTCTGGGGAGTCCACTTGCTCATGGACCTGCACTCAAGATGCTCCTTTTCACAAACAGTGCTGGGGCACCAGCCAAGGACACAGCATCCGCCTATGTTTAAAACATGTCTCCTTCCTCCCTCGAGTTGTGTTTTCACCCCATCAGGGAACAGAACTCGGGCTCTGCCCATCACAGACCACCTCCTTGTGAGAAAATTCCCACCATGCAGACCGACCTGGCTCCCTCTCCGCAGCCTGGCTCCCTCCCAATACACCATTGATGCCCAGCACCCCAACTCCCAACCTCCTCCCCGCACTGCCCCTTCTCTGCAGGGTCTGTTGGAGCCATCCAACTGCAACATGCCCCACATGCTTCCTCACGGCTTTGCTTCCTGCTCCCCTCCATTCCACTGACCAGTTCTCAAACGCCATGCGGGGAGAGGCTGGCACCCAGACGCACAGTAACCGCCCCCGCCATGGGGACACTGCACCACCTCACAGCAGTCACTGCTTCTGCCTTGTTATTGTGAAGAATTCCGTGTATTTATAATAAGTTGTCACATGGTCACACCATCGGCACTGAGAGCCAAGAACAGTCCTGGTCACACACTGCAGCGGGGAGGGCAGCTCCCCAGGTTTCGTGCGCTGCATCTCTGAAACGTTCAGTTCCTGCTATTGAACTCTGTGAGCAGCTGTGCGGCTTCCCTCTGTGTCTGCAACGAAACAACAGGCGGTACCGCAGAGATCAGCTCGTGGAAGGCAGTCACCCGTGGGCTGGCTTTCTACGTGTCCACGCCCAGGGCGGCAGGCCACCGGGACAGGCTCAGACTCCACACGGAACACCCCACCCCGCTGAGTAACTCGGTGCTAACATGCCCACAGAACTGAGCATCTGCTGTGCAGACCTTAGCACAGATGTCAGTATTCACGTCTGAAACGGGCACTGCTGCTCCCAACAGGCTGCACCAGACAGCGGCTGGGCCTCGCTCCCGGCGCTGCGCGTACCTGCTTGTCCTCCTCGGTGCGGGCCGGATAGTCCTTGGCCTTCAGGAGCCAGAACGCGGCAAGCTTTTTGTTCTGCAGCTTCAAGTATGTCTTTCCTAAGAGAAGCAAGTTTTTGCTGTAGAAGTTTGGATCCACTGTTCATAAGAAAGAAAAATTTATCTCAGGTGAAATTGTATTGCTCTTATTTTTAAAGGCTTCCTTTTGGGGCCTGAATTTCAATCATCTGTCTGGTTTATAAATGACTATCCCACTGGGACCCACCTGTTCACCGGTTCCTACCTCCAGACCGTCACAGCTAACCGGGAGCACCTGCAGGTGCGGCTGCCGCTGCGCACTCTCCCTCGCAGCCTTTCCTCACAGGCGCGGGTCCAGGCGCCCAGCACAGGCCTTCCCCAGCGCCTGCTCCCTGCTCACCCTACAGGCTACAACCTAACATGCACTCAGCACGCGGGAAGCCATGACACCACACACACACTCACACACACACACACACTACACGCCAGACCAGCTCGTGTGGGTGGGGCTACTCTTAAGCACAGATCAAACAAAAGCTCTGCTCTTTGGGGATTTATAAGGAAAGGGCAAGAAAAACGTGAGCACGATGAAGATCCCTTGAGTAGGGAAGAAGGCTCCAACAGGTGTGCGTTTCAGGGTGCGAGAAGACCCCAGGAGGAGCACTCCCTGGCGGAGGCTGGAGGCTGCAGGGCTGTGCAGGAAATGTAGACGGTCCTGCTGAGAGAATCCCACCCCCCGTCTACCAACAAGAGCTGGGATTCCTTCGGAAGTTCAGGCTCCCTCTCAGCTAGGCCCTCGGTGCACACCCACTCCTTCCTGGTGGCTGGCCTCCGGCTGCTCCTGACCCCGCTGCCCTGCAGACTTACAGTAGGGGCATCAGCTGGCGGCTTTGCTAACTTCCTCCTGGCACCCGCACTCTTTCCTTCCTCCTCCTTCCTCTCTTGTTCAGCAAGTGGCCCGACAGGCCAGACAGCCCCTCCCCTGCCATGGAGGAGCATGCCTGCTGAGGGCAGGCCCTGGCAGGGGGAGTTCAAGTGCCGGAGAGGATCTCCCAGCCTGGACAGGGCCGGGAGAAAGGCCGCCTGCACGGGCTTCTGGGTAAAGCTCGGAGAAGCCACGCCCGGGAGTTATTTTAGCTCCCAGGGAGCCAGCCACGGTTTCCCCCAAGCCTCCCCTCTCTCGCCCTTCAGGAAACTGCCCTCCTAGTCCCCCATGCAGAGACGGAGAAGCCATGAGGAGATGGACAGGAGGCGGTATCCGAGCCGGAGTAGCGGGCTTCCAGAGACGGAGACGTTCAGAAACAGCGCCTTCCTGATGCTTTGCTCTCATGCAAGCCTTCGGACGAGTCCTGCCGAGCAGGCTCTCAAACTTCATTTCCTGAGGAAGCTTTGTAGAAATGCGCTTGCATTTTCTGGGGTGTTTGGTGACACGCTTATGTCGCTGGCTTCTGTGGTTCAAACTTAGAAGGCTGGGGAGGGGAAGCGAGCGGCGGGGACACAGGGGGGCCTCTGTGATTCCTTCAGCAAAGATCCATTAGCAAAAAGGTAAACAGGACGGGGGGCAGTGCGAGCGTGAAGGCTGTGCTTCCTCCGAGCAATCGAGGCACGAAACGCCGGGGTGGCCAGGATGAAACTCCGCTAACCCAGGCAGCCACGTCAGCGTGCGGCTCGGAGCCTGAACCAGCAGCAGGACCTCTCCTGTCATTTTTAAATCCTCACTCGAGGAATTCTCTGATTGACTCTAGAGAAAGGAGGGGGAGAGGAAGGGAGAGGGGGACATTGATTGGTTACCTCCCTTACATGCCCTGACCAGGGAATTAAACCGGCAACCTGAGTAAGAGCCCTGACCAGGAATCCAATCCGCCACCTTTTGGTACATGGAGCATGTTCCAGCCAACTGAGCACACGGCCAGGGCACGGGGCCTACTCCTTACTCAAGAGAATAAAGCCTTTAGACTGTTTGATAATGCCTAGCACAAAAGTGTGTCAAGATACAGTATTTTTGTTTTGAAATGCCTATCCTTCCTATCTAATAAAATATGCAAATTTACCATACCCACAAGCCACACCCACCATCCAATCAGAAGCAAGCATGCAAATTAACCCAACCAAGATGCGGCCAAGGAGAGAGGAGGAGGCTTGGGTTTCCCCGGCAATGGAGGCAGCCAAGCTTTCTGACTGCCCTGGCCTGCCTTGGCCTCTGCTTAAGGCTACAAAGTTTCAATTATAGAAGACAAACAAATCCCAACAGAAAATGGCAGCAGGCATAGAGTGAGCAGGAGGCTTGGCTCCACTCAAGGCTACAGTTTCAATTATAGAAGATAAATAAATTCCAGGGCCTCCGCTTCAGTCACCGGGGGGTGTGGCCAGCCTGCAAACCACCACAGGCCCCTTGCCCAGGCCGCCCCACACCACACGGGAACCCCCACCCTGATCCGGGACACCTTTCAGGGCAAACCAGTTGGCCCCTACCCATGCATCAGGCATCTATCCTATCTAATAAAATAGTAATATGCAAAGTGACCGTCACTCCAACACACAAGTTGGCTGTCCCCATGTGGTCAAAGATGACTGCCCCCATGTGGACACAAGATGGACAGCAGGAGAGGGCAGTTGGGAGGAACCAAACCTGCAAGGGAGGGAAGTTGTGGATGATCAAGCCTGCAGTGGAGGGCAGTTAGGGGTGACCAGGTTGGCAGAGGAGGGAACTGGGGGTGACCGGGCCTGCAGGGAAGGGCAGTTGGGGGGGGAACCCAGCCTGCAAGGGAGGGCAGTTGGAGGCGATCAAGCCTGCAGAGAAGGGCAATTAGGGGAGACCAGGTTGGCAGAAGAGGGAAGTTGGGGTGACCAGGCCTGCAGGAAAGGCAGTTGGAGGGTCCCAGGCCTGCAGGAGAAGGCAGTTAGGGGCAAACAGGTAGGCAGGGGAGCAATTTGGCATCAATCAGGCTGGCAGGGAGTTATTAGGCTGGCAGGCAGAAGTGGTTAGGAGCAATCAGGAAGGCAGGTATGTGAGCAATAGGAGCTAGCAGTCCTAAATTGTGAGAGGGATGTCTGACTGCCCATTTAGGCCCAATTCCACTGGGATCGGGTCTAAATGGGCAGTCGGACATCCCTCGAGGGGTCCCAGATTGGAGGGAGCAGTCTATGCTGAGGGACACCACCTCCTGTGCACGAATTTCATGCACCAGGCCTCTAGTCTATATAATAAAAGCATCAGTGAATGTTACAGCGGAACAACCAGAACGACCAGTTGCTATGATGAGCACTGACCACCAGGGGGCAGACATTCGATGGAGCTGCCCCTGGTGGTCAGTGAGCTCCCACAGGGAGAGCGCTGCTCAGCCAGAAGCTGGGATCACAGCTGGCGAGCACAGCAGTGGTGGCGGGAGCCTCTGTCATCTCTGTGGCATCACCAAGGAGCAGCAAGCAGGCAGGCGGTGAGGAACAGGGGACCTGGACTGTGAGAGGGATTTCCAATCCCTGCGGGGAGCAGGCCTAAGGCAAAGGGCGGACATCCCCGGAGGGAGCCCGGATCGCAAGGGGACGCAGGCCGGGCTGAGACCCCACACACACACACACACCCCAAGTGCACAGGCCTCTGGTTATATATAAAGCAGTCACATAATTTTTAATGTATTAGTATCTAAAATAAAAAATATTTTACCTTGTTCTGCCTTTTGAAAGTAGCGTAAGGCCTGTAAAAAAGAATGCAAACATATGTAAGGATTAAAATAGATTCATTATTTAAAAATCTTCTCAAACTCTATTCCTGTATTACATATAAGCAAGGAAGTCAATGAAAACCCCTTAAAATAATGGCCCATTCATCAACAGTGAGCGTAACATAGCACTCAAGGCCCCGAGCACAGAGCATGTGGCCCTCGAGCCCCAAGGTCCCGGCCACCCCTGGTCCTGGCACAGCCTCGTGCAGGGAAGGCGGCCACAGCAGCTGGCTCTCCTCTCTCTCTTCAGTCCCAGCAGGGCACCCTGAAAATTAAACACATCGGAAGCTGCATTTTCTTGGTGACACACTGGTTGTACCAGGGAGTTTTTAAATTAGTTTATTAATGAAACTAGTGGCCTGGTGCATGAAATTCATGCACAGGTGGGGGGTGTCCTTCAGCCTGACCTGCACCCTCGAGGGATGTCCGATTGCCAGTTCAGGGATGGGGCCTAAATTGGCCATCAACATCCATCTCGAAATCTGGGACTGCTGGCTCATAACTGCTCATCTGCCGGCCTGATCAGCCCTAACCACTTGGCATGCCAGCCTGCTCACCCCCATCGCACCCCCCCTGGCCTTCTCACCCCCAACTGCCATCTCCCTTGCTGACCTGCTTGCCCCCAACGGCCCCCACTGCCGGCCTGCTTGCCCCCAACTGCCTTTCCCCTCCTAGCCTTATTGCCCCTAAATGCCTCTGCCCTGCCACCATGGCTTTGTCCAGAAGGTCTCCTGGTCTAATTAGCGTATTACCCTTTTATTAGCATGGGTAGATAGATTTCAGAGAGGAAAGGAGAGGGGGAGAAACATCAGTGATAGAGAATCATGGATCAGCTGCCTCCTGCACACCCCTTACTGGGAATCGAGCCCATAACGATTCCCAGTAAGGGGAATGTGCCTTGACCAGAATTGAACTTGGGACCCTGCAGTTTGCAGGCTGATGCTCTACCCACTGAACCACCCCAGCCAGGGCACCACCAGTCACTTTTAGAACCTTGTTTTGCTTCTAGAAGAAACCCCATGCCACCCTACCCATCTAGCTGCCTGCGCGCCCTTCCCCTCCCCCTCTCAGCACACTGCTATTCAAACATTTCATGGGAATGGGACCACACACAATGGGTGTCTGGTGACCGGCTGCTTCACTTGGGTGTATACTTCTGCGAGGCGGGTTGCAGGGTTCCATGTGGCTGACATTAATCATTGGAGGAGTGGCCGCACCATTTCCTCCGACAGCAGGTGAGGGTGAGGGCTTGTCCACATCCTCGCCTACACCTGCTGTCATGTAGCTTTGGTTCTAGCCTCCACGGTGACCTCGGGGTCCGCCAAAGTATTGCTCTCAGAAGCACAAGCTATGCTTTTCGATTCAGTTTTAAAGTGGAAGTTGTGTATTATAAAATGTCTGCACAAACATCTCTACAGGTAAGTTCTCGCTGCTCAGGATCCTCACCTCCTTGCTGCCTGGTCCCGTCTGGTTCTGGGGAGGGCCCTGGAGAGGGTGCCAGGGGCACCAGCCAACCCTCCGCGGGGCTGGCCACAGGCTGCACTGGGCTTGGGGAGCAAGGGAGGAAGAGCGAGGGGCAGGAGCAGCTTTGGGGCCATGCCTATCGCAGTGACTGCCGCTCCCGCAGGCCAAGGCGAGTGGTGCCCCCCCGGGGGGGGGGGGAGAGGGACCTTCTCTGAATGAAGCCCTCGGAGCCAAGGAGCTCCGTCTGCAGGATCCACTGTGCCCACTGTCCTGGCTTCCATGCCTCAGAAGGCAAAGGTCCGATCAGCAAAAATGACAGCTTTAAAGCAGCGACGCGGGCTCCGCCTCCGAGCGGCTCCGACCTGGATCACGGCCAGTGGGACTGCAGGCACCGGTGTGTGGGCAGCGGCCACGTAGGCCTGCAGGCCCCTGGCAGGGCCGGTGCAGGAGGAGCGGGCTTCGTTGGGAGAGAATGTTCACAGGGCTGCAGGCTCCCTCTTCAAACACTGATCGCTGTCACGTCTGGCCCCCAACTCCCCTCCACGGGGCCTCCTCACAGAGTGAGGGCGCCAGGCCAGGCCTCTCCTGGGCCGTCCAGGGCCTGTTGGCTCTCAGGAGTCTGTGGGGCAGGTTGTGGGGCTCCCACTGGGCAGCGCAGCCACAGCTGCAGCCCCGAGGCCAGGCTCTGGGCTTGGAGCTGGGGTCCCCAGTGCTGTAGCCCGCTGATCTGTAGCCCCCCTGATCCACAGCCCCATCAACCACCGCCCCCTGATCCGCAGCCCCACCCCCAACCACCGCCCGGTGATCCGCAGCCCCACCCCCAACCACCGCCCGGTGATCCGCAGCCCCACCCCCAACCACCGCCCTGTGATCCGCAGCCCCACCCCCATCCACCCCCCCCTGATCCGCAGCCCCACCCCCAACCACCGCCCCCCTGATCCGCAGCCCCACCCCCAACCACCACCCCCCTGATCCGCAGCCCCACCCCCAACCACCGCCCCCTGATCCGCAGCCCCACCCCCATCCACCGCCCCCTGATCCGCAGCCCCACCCCCATCCACCGCCCCCTGATCCGCAGCCCCACCCCCAACCACCGCCCCCTGATCCGCAGCCCCACCCCCATCCACCGCCCCCTGATCCGCAGCCCCACCCCCAACCACCGCCCCCTGATCCGCAGCCCCACCCCCAACCACCGCCCGGTGGTCCGCAGCCCGAGCAGTGGCAGTGCTCACTGAGAGTGCGGCGCTATTCCAGGCCCCTGGGTGTGCTGGCGCTGGGGCTGGAGGCACTGGGAGCTGCAGCTGCTCAGGGCCCTGCTGTTCGGTTGTCCGGTAATGGCATCCGGGCTAAAATGCTACTGTGAATCTAAAAAGGCTAATTCTTTATGACTCACTGACACAGTTTTTATAATACACTTCCTGCCAACTGATTTCTTAAAAACTACTGGTCTGCTAGAGCAGAGTATCTTTTCTCTCAGAATGCACCGTTTTTAATAACAATAGGCATTTCCCAGCTGTGCAATTACACACCTCTGTGCACCTGACATTGAAACCAGCACAGCTGTCCGGAAAGCAGCAGGCCCTCACGATGATGAGGATTCAGAAAGCCATTTCATGGCCTGTTACTCACTCGGAACATTTTTTCATAAGCAAACCCAAAACGTCTGCCCACCCCTAACTGGCTCTACTCAGTGGATAGAGCATCAGCCTGTGGACTGAAGGGTTCCAGGTTTGATTCGGGTCAAGGGCATGGACCTTAATTATGGGCACATCCCCAGTAGGGGGCATGCAGGAGGCAGCTGATCAATGTTTTTCATCGATGTTTCTAACTCTCTATCCCTCACCAGCTCCCTTCCTCTCTGTAAAAAAATCAATAAAGTATATTTAAAAAGCCACACACAAAAGAAATAAACCTGAGAATGCTATGCTATTAACCTTTAAAAAAAAAGTTTTCCCAGAAATCCCCCTCAACATCCTTTCAAAGGCACTTACAAAAACGTTATGGAGCCCAGCTAGTGTGCTCAGTGGGTTAAGGGTCGACCTATGAGCCAGGAGGTCAGGGCACAGGCCCGGATTGTGGGCTCGATCCCCAGTGGGGGGCCGACAGGAGGCAGCGGCCAGTGCTGCTCCCTCATCACTGAAGCTTCTCTCTCTCTCTCCCTATCTTTCCTCTCTGAAATCAATAAGAATGTCTTTTCCCGGCCTGGTAGGGAAAGGACGAACGGAGACCTTGTCCCCACAGCAGCTGCGGAGCCGGCGCTGCGCTTCCCGCTCTGTTTGGGATTCACGCCGGCACAAGCTTCAACAGAAGACAGGGCAGCTGTTTGCCGCGGTTGTCACGAGCCCCCTGGAGAAATCGACCCAGAGTCATGGGCACAGTGGAGGGCACAGTGGAGGGCACAGTGAAGGGCACAGTGGAGGGCACAGTGGAGGGCACAGTGAAGGGCACAGTGGAGGGCACAGTGGAGGGCACAGTGGAGGGCACAGTGGAGGGCACCGTGAAGGGCACCGTGAAGGGCACCGTGAAGGGCACCGTGAAGGACACCATGAAGGGCACCGTGAAGGGCACCGTGAAGGACACAGTGAAGGGCACAGTGAAGGACACAGTGAAGGACACAGTGAAGGGCACAGTGGAGGGCACAGTGGAGGGCACAGTGAAGGGCACAGTGGAGGGCACAGTGGAGGGCACCGTGAAGGGCACCGTGAAGGGCACAGTGAAGGACACAGTGAAGGACACAGTGAAGGACACAGTGAAGGGCACAGTGGAGGTCACAGTGAAGGGCACAGTGAAGGGCACAGTGAAGGACACAGTGAAGGGCACAGTGAAGGACACAGTGAAGGACACAGAGAAGGTCGTGTGGCCGCCCTGTTGAGTGCCCCCTCTCCCCGGAGGCCAGCACTCACCTCCTCGTAGGTGGAGCTGGGAGGGGCTGCAAACAGCATGTTGGCAATTCTCCTCTGATACCAGGGCATTTCAGCAAACGTGTAGCACCTGGGACAGAGAAACGTTCACACATCGAACTGCACTTATTTTCTCTTCAAGACAATCAAGCATCTTAACAGACACACAAGTACTCCGGTGCTATCTGTTTAAGCAGCATGTGCTGGACATAACCTACAGGCGCACATCCACACCGAGTCAGGCAGGGAGTGACTGACACTGCTCGGGAACTTGTGGTCACAGGTGGACAGCAGCACGGGAAGCCCCGGAGCCTCCTGGGGAGGCGTGGGCAGGAAGAGGGCACATGCTCAGAGCTGGGCATCGCCTGTGCGTCAGGCCGCCCTGGGGTGCTGGACGTGCGCGGGGATGAGGGGGGACTGTGCACCTGTTGCTAAGTGATCCGAGTAATTACATCTAACAAGATCACAGTCAAATTTATGTTTTCTAACTACACGCACAGCTGCTGTGGTTGATTTAAGGATTAAGCACTCCTGACTACCAAGTAGCATTTTAAAATAGTTTACATCTTGATTTTTTATACTCTACAAAATAAGATCATACTACATACCACTGAAATATTTATTCAAAGAAATTTTCTTACCAAATGCCCATTAGGTGAATCGAGGTAGCATCTTTAGGGTTCAATTCAATTGCTTTCTAACAAGAAATGAGAAAATCAATCACTTGCTTTCTAAGCAGCAATAAGAACTATACTTGTTTACTGAGGAAGCACCAGGTAAACTATGTCAGGAAAGTGTCCCTCGTTTCTATTTACACGTGACAGCTCCGTGTAAATTAATGTAAAGTATAAATGACAACGACTTAACGAAATTACTCCTTTATACATTGTTTTGTTGGATTCTGCTAAGAAAATTTCAGAGTTTGATGTAGTGCCATTAAAAACAAAAGACCCTTTTACAAGCGGGACTGCCTAGCTGCGCTCTGTGCACACCCGCACCGTCACGCTCAGGCAGGAGTGTGAGACACGCACGTTCACGTCTCTGCACTGCGGCCGGTGTGACACGCACATTCAGTCTCTGCACTGCGGCCGGTGTGACACACACATTCAGTCTCTGCACTGCGGCCGGTGTGACACGCACGTTCACGTCTCTGCACTGCGGCCGGTGTGACACGCACGTTCACGTCTCTGCACTGTGGCCGGTGTGACACACACATTCAGTCTCTGCACTGCGGCCGGTGTGACACACACATTCAGTCTCTGCACTGCGGCCGGTGTGACACACACATTCAGTCTCTGCACTGCGGCCGGTGTGACACACACATTCAGTCTCTGCACTGCGGCCGGTGTGACACGCACGTTCACGTCTCTGCACTCGGGCCGATGTGGCTCTGAGCCAGACTCCCGGGCTCCAACTGCAGCTCACGCCTCCTAACCGCTTGGCCTTGGGATGTTTCTACATTCCCGCCTGGGTTTGCTCTTCAGAGAACTGAGACAGTGCACCTCCCATTGGGGCTGTGGTGACCGTGACATGGCAGTCACAGAGGCACTGGCACAGAGTGTCTCCCGTCGCCACCGTTTCCTTTCCTCAGGTCCAGGCATGGCAGCGGCAGAGGTCCCAGAGCGAGGCGGACAGTGTGCGCGGGCAGGGCTCCGGCTCACTGATGTGGTTAAAAACTGCTTTCCCATAATACAGTGACATGTTCCAGCAAAACACAACTGACGTATAGACAACTTCTACCCCAAGCTCTTTCCCTGTCTGAGTCCACCGGAACACTGAGCCCTACAAAAGCCAGCTCAGTCACTGTCTTCTGTTCCTCCTGCCCATAGCCGGGCAGGCCTGGCGAGAAGCCAGCCTCCCCGCCTGCCCTGGGCACCAGAGCCCACCTCTCACTGGCTTCTCCCAGCAGCTCTCCAGGTTAGCTTAAGTGTCTTCAAAACCCCAATGACGGCATCCTTCTAACTTAGGTAAATACAGAATCTGAAATAATTGTACCAATAGTACAAATAGTAAACACTAAACACTGTCATTTTAAAACACACTTAACACATACATTTAAAAAGCTAATAAAAAACACTGAATTTTAAAAAATTATAGCCTTCATGCTTGAAGTTTAGAGTGAAGGCTACATTAATATATTTTCTGTGCTTTTTCACTATTCCATTGGCAGTTCCCTGTCATGTGTTTCTACACAGCAAGGCACAGAGTAACTGAGATGTGGCATTAGGAAGATGCCACAGGCACTGCGTCTAAGACACCATCACACTACCTTCCGACCCACTGAGACTGCAAAGCAAGCATGAGACACCACTGACTACACAATGCAGTCGGATTTCAAAGACTTAAAATGTGAAAAAGGCCTATTAAATTGAAACGCATGCACACGTACTACTGATGCCTGAAGAAGCTAGGTCTCCCGACTTCCCGTCCAACCTTCTTGTCAACCAGTCATTCGAAAACCTAGAGGCTGGGTCTATCGCCATAAATTCAGAAACCTGTTGCCCAGCCTACCTGCCATTCCCCTGCACGTGTCTCCCCACCCAGCCTCCTCGGTATGTGAGAGGTCTGGAATACCACGCGAGAGAGGAGCATGCACCAGGGCCTGTGTCGGGAGGGCGGTGGGGTCACGCACGTGCACCGTGGAAGAGGCGTGGAGAGTCAGGAAGCACTCACGGTGATGCTGCACTAACGTCAGGGCAATGTGAGCACACCCAGAGCTCACAGCGCACACGGGGCTGTCCCTATGCAGAGGCTGCGACACTGGACTGTTATGAGAGACCACACCCCCACAGACTGGCCTTGGCCACCGGACTTGTGTGGCCCGCCGGGGTATTAACAGGTGTGAGGCAGGTTTGCACACGGACTCTCCCTGGGCCGCCCACTCTTGGAAGCCAGCAGCCATGCGGTAAAGTAACAAACACCATCGGAGTCAGAGGCTGCCCTGCAGGGGCCGGTGAGCACAGCCTGCGGGAGCTCCGCCGCACCCGGCAGAGCACGGTGCTGCCAGACCTCAGGCCGCCGACTCCGAGGCCCGCGAGTCTCAGCAGCTGCAGGACAGGGAACCACCACCCGGAAAGCCCACGCATGTCCAGCTCACTGGTACCTCAAAGTGCTCCTTGATGACGTAGGCGTTTGCGATTTTAGCCTTGATGCCTTCGTAATCTCCCACGTCACTGATGCAGATGGCACACCACTAGAAACGGAAAGCGGTGTAAGGATAATGGTCCATGCCACACAGGGTAAACTGAGTACTCATTCCTCATTCAACGAGTTACTGCCGTCAGCACCGAGCTGGGAACACTGGGACAGGCAGCCAAGTGGACGGGCTCGGGGCTCCAGGAGAAACTGGCCGTGTGTGTCCTGGACAGGCACAGGGCAGAGAGCAGCAAATCCCCGGGACGGTCAACAACACAACACCGTAGTGATTCATGGCAATGGTCTGAGTTACAAATTTCGAAAAATCCAAGATCAACTATCATCCTCCTTCCTCGTCCCTTGTTCTGGGTGCTGCCGCCCCACCATGTCTGCACGGTCCCTGTCCTCACAGCGCTCCTGCCAACCATGGGTCCCGTCAGGCTTGGACAACAGGACCAGACGCAACACCGGAGCATCTGCCCAGGAGAGAAACCCAGGACGCTCACCCCCCACTCCCAGTGCCGCGGGGTCTCCGCACACCCAGTGCCCGGGGTCACGGACGCGACCCGCAGTGAACCAAGTCGAGGGCTGGCAGCCTGGAGCCATCGAGCCCGTGCTTCCTGCAGCCTGAACGCCCTGCCTCAGGTCTGTGGAATACAACAGGTCCAATATAAACACCCCGTTCCTGTTTGAGCTTATTTCTGTGGGATTTTAATAATTTTAACGCTCAAACTTCTTTTTAGAATTTCTCTCCACCAAAGTATTTTGTATCTTTAAATGCTTAAGAATAAACAAGTATTGTTTAAAACACACACACACACACACACACACACACACCAGGCAGACCCGAGAACCCAGGTGACGGAGGATCACGCGGGCTCTCACCTGCTGCTGACTTGCTGCCAGATGTCAGGGCTCAGAACACAACCCCCTTCTCTCGGGCACCCACTCTCACCCTCACGCACAGCAAACCTCCCGGTGAGGCTGCGTCTTGTGACTCACAGCGAATACAAACTAGCCAGAGCTGATGGCAGGAGGTGTGATCTTGACGATTTTATTTCTATATTTGTACTCTTTTTTCTTTTTTTTTCTTCTTCTTTTTTTTTAATATGAACAATAAAGATTTATTTTTAAAAAGTATATATTTGATCTGGTTAACATATACAATATATATGTTATATGTATAACATATATATAATACATATAGTACATATTATATTATATAAGTGTATATGAAATATGTATGCTAGGCCATTCAAGAACTCCTTTTTCTTAAAATTTTTTTATTGGTTTCAGAGGAAGGGAGAGGGAGAAATAGAAACATCAATGATGAGGAGAGAGTCATTGATTGGCTGCCCCGGTGCAGCCCTACTGGGGATCGAGCTCGAAACCTGGGCATGTGCCCTGCCTGGGAATCGAACCATGGCTTCCAGGTCCGTAGGTCGATGCTTAACCGCTAACTAAGCTATCCCAGCTGGGCTGTATTCTTTTTTTTAATTTCCAAAATGTCTATTGTCTATATTGAGTTTACATTATTTAAAAAAAATTTTAAAAAAAACTTTTAAATGGATATTCTAGCCAAGAAGGAGTAATACTTACCTTCTTGCCTAAAACAGTAAAAAAAAAAAAAAAAAAAAAAAAACACAGACAAAATATAAGAAATACTGACTCTCAGGATGCCACACAGTAGGCAGAGACACCTGGGAGACAAGTGAACCTCGTGGCCTCCCGTCAGGAACACAGTGCGGGAGCTCTGGCCAGGGACCGGAGGACAGGAAAACAAAAGAAAGCACAACTCTCTCTCTGTAGATGACGGGATCTTACAAACCCTAAAGAATCTCCAATAAATAAGTTCAGCAAAGCTACAGGATATAAAATCAATATGTGAACACCAACTGCATTCCTATACACTAGCAATGAACAATATGAAAGTGAAACTCAGAAAAGAATTCCAATTACAGTAGCATCAAAAAGATATGGAAGCCCGACAAATATGGCTCCATGGTTGAGTGTCGAATTATGAACCAGGAGGTCACAGTTCAATTCCTGGTCAGGGCACATGCCCAGGTTGTGGGCTCAGTCCCCGGTGGGGAGTGTGCAGGAGACGGTCAATAATTCTCTCATTTTTTTATTTATTTATTATTTTTTTTTAATATATTTTATTGATTTTTGTACAGAGAGGAAGGGAGAGAGATAGAGAGTTAGAAACATCAATGAGAGAGTCATCGATCAGCTGCCTCTTGCACACCCCTACTGGGGACATGCCCGCAACCAAGGTACATGCCCTTGACCGGAATCGAACCCGGGATCTTTCAGTCCCCAAGCCGACGCTCTATCCATTGAGCCAAACTGGTCCCGGCGATTCTCTCATTTTTAAAAATATATATATTTTATTGATTTTTTTATAGAGAGGAAGAGAGAGGGATAGAGAGTTAGAAGAATCATCCATCAGCTGCCTCTTGCACACCCCCTACTGGGGATGTGCCTGCAACCAAGGTACATGCCCTTGACCAGAATCAAACTCGGGACCCTTCAGTCCGCAGGCCGACGCTCTATCCACTGAGCCAAACCGGTTTCGGCTCTCTCCTCATTGATGTTTCTCTCTCTCTTTCCCCCTTCCTCACTAGGAAATCAATAAGAAATATGTATATTTAAAAAAAAAGAGGTATGCCGAAACCGGTTTGGCTCAGTGGTAGAGCGTTGGTCTGCGGACTGAAAGATCCCAGGTTCGATTCCGGTCAGGGGCATATACACTGGTTGTGGGCACATCCCCGGTAGGGGTTGTGCAGGAGGCAGCTGGTCGGTGTTTCTCTCTCATCAACATTTCTAGCTCTCTATCTCCCTCCCTTCCTCTCTGTAAAAAATCAATAAAAATAAAAAAATAAAAAAAAAAGGTATGGAAGCAACCTGTGTCCAACAATAGACAGAAATGATAAAGAATGTTATTTGTAACATGGATGGGCTGGTTCTGGGCCACAAAAGAAGTCCTGACAAATTTAAAACAATTATATCTGTTTTCCCTGAATATAAATACGCGTGTGCGCACTGGAGGGCGGAGATGGGGAAAAAGGAGGGGCCAGTCCCAAAAGGAGGCACTGGGAAATGGGTCACTATGGCCTGCGGCTCCACTGGGACACCTGATGTGATCGAGTGACGTCCTCATCCAAACAACGCCCGGTTCCCAGCGTCACTGGGCCTCTGCTGGGCCGGGCAGGAGAGGCAGAGCTGGCGGGGTGCGTGTGAGAAGGGGCCCAGACGGAAACGGAGCGTGAGGAAATGGAAAACCCGTCAGGAGCTTGCACTCCTGGGAGCTGAGATCCAAGGACGCGTGGAACGGCTCCCACGGTGCCCACAGGGCACACCCCGAGGCCGCACCACGCACTCTCGGAGGAGGTGCTCCACAGGGAAGAAAAGCCCGTGAGTCCCTCTCTATGTACAGTGGACAGGCCAGCAGACAGCGGGCCCTCAGGACGAGGCAGCCGCCGTGACCGCAGGGCCTCACCTTGTGAGCCGCGGAGCTCGCATGGTCCTTCTCCAGCGCCCGCTGGGCGTACCCCAGCGCCTCGTACACCAGCGCCTTCTTCTCCGCCGCCGAGGTCCCGCCGAGCTGGGCGAGGTCCCGGGAGGCCCGCGCCAGACGCCACAGCAGCTCTGCGTCTTCACTAGTTTGAAGTAAACATGAAACCACCATTTTATCGATGTTAGAGAGAAACACCGATTACTTCCTCTATGTACCCAGTTGGGGATGGAACCCACCACCTGGGCATGTGCCTGACTTAAGAACAGAGCCAGTGGCCTTTAGGAGTTTGGGACGATACTCCAACAATCCGAGCCACCGGCCGGGATAAAACCACCATTTCAGCTCGCATTCTGGAGATGGCCGAAGGTGGCATCACTAAGGAATACACTGGTCTTTCCGTCCAGCGAGGGTACAGCCAGCGGCACAGCATCCAATGCCATTATTCTCACATTCCACTGGTTATTCTCTCACACGACTTTATTTGCTACAATTCCCTACAAAATGCCCAGTATCACACACAGCTATTTACTTACCTGTCATGTCTAACACACGCCTTCCTCTGAGCACCTGCCCACCAAACACAGCCGTAACCGGGACGCACTGCCAGCCGGCGCTCACACGGTACAGGCACGGCGCCTGACACAGCGTCTGGTCACGGCACAGCCTGCTGGGCCCGCCCAGGGTCCCTCACCAACAGGCACCGAAACGTGCCTGTCAATGAGTGACTGAGGACAACCTCCACATGAACCATCTGAACAAGCCGTCCCGCCAGGAGGCGTGGCGTTCCTCAAGGAAGGGCACTCACCTCCTTGAAGAACGGCCACTTAAATAAAACGATGTAAATTAAGAAGTGGTCACTAAACAAAAGAATAACCACAATTAAGAGGCAGAAGTAGTTTAAAACCTTAAATTCTTTTTTATTAAATGTCTACCTTTAAGTCTACCTTACAGTTGCTTATGTGGTAAATAATGTAATAATTATAATACAAAATAAACTGTGTTACCTGTAAGAACAACTCTAAACCTACTTTTGCCCCACTTGTGCTTTTTGTTTTTTTGGTTAATCCTTGCACAGTGATATTTTTTCCCTGGATTTAGACAGAGTAAAAGGGAGGGAGACAGACAGACAGAGAAAACATCATTGTGAGAGAGACACATCGACTGGCTGCCTTCCACACAGGCCCTAGCTAGGGCCGAGGTTTGAGCCTACAACCGAGGTACATGCCCTTGAGGAGAATCGAACCTATGATCCCTCAGTATGCGTGCCAACCCTCTAAACACTGAGCCAAACCAGCTAGTGTTATTTCTTCTTTTTAAATATTTATTTATTTTTATAGAGAGAGGGAGAGAAACACTGATGTGAGAGCAGAACGTGGAGCAGCTGCCTCTTACCAGGGATTCAGCCCGAACCCAGGCATGTGCCCTGTCTGACTGGGAATCAAACCCACAACTTTTTAGTGCAAAGGGCCAACCAACTGAGCCACACGGGCCAGGGCCCACCCTGTATTTGTTAACAAAAATGGTACTAATAAAACTGCGGGAAGCAATAGCATATTTATAATTCAATGGCTATGGAGTAACACCTAACAGCTCACTTTCCAAGTAATTTCTGAAGTGAGTGTGCAATGCCAAACCAGCCACCTTAGTCACTGCAGGACAGGGAAGGAGACGGGTCCTGCAGATACTGAGGAAGTACAGCGATCGGCCTTAGGAGCCGCAGAATGGCAGTAGAAAATGACGTTGTAGCTTTAGTTAGGATATGAGGTTGATCAATGACCTGGAAATACCTTGACTTACTTTATGGTCTGAATCCACTCCACCTCTATCTGCCCCCTAAAAAGCACACACTGATACTCTGGGCTAAACATGTACTCTACTTTTTATTTTGTATTTTTGAAAGTTTATTAGAGAGAGAGAGAGAGAAACACTGATGTGAGAAAGAGACATCTATCAGTTGCCTCTTACACTCCTCAACCAGGAACTGAACCAGCAATCTGGTATGTGCCCTGACCAGGAAGTCTAACAGGTGACCTTTTGGTGCCTGGGACAACCAACTGAGCCACACTGACCAGGACAAGCACGCTATTTTTTAAAAAGGAGGTATTTTCAGTTTCTCTAAAAAACCATACTTCCAAAATGATACACAGATACCATCCAGTGGAGACATGCAACTATCCCAATTCACTTAAATCTTATACTAATCATTAAAGAAATGATAAATATACAATAGAGATGACAAACACATATTCAGCTACTTACCTTTGTGATCCAAAACAAAATCATAAAATAAAATGGACAAAGTATTTCAAATTTATGCTAGAATAAGTTGAGCAACCTTTTCTAAATCAAAATGTAGCATTTTGGAATAATTTAATGTAAGAAAGAAATAGCTATAAATGAAACTCTAAGAAATGTTATTCTGAGTAAAAAGCTTTAAAGAACTGTGAAAACTTCTCCCGTTGAGTGCTGAGTTTAACAGAATGGGAGGCAGCCGCCACCCAGGCCACGCACTGCTCACCTCTCCTTGTACTCGGTCAGCAGCTGATAGAGCTTCTCCGTCTCTCCGCTCTCGTACAGGTAGTCTGCCTGCTGCAGGATTTCTTCGACTCGGAAGCCTAGAAACAAAACAGTCAGCAGGTCTTCCCAAGCCATGCAGCATTGCTAGCAGCACTTTCACATATAAGCACAGAAAATTAGACTCTGTATCTAAATGTATAGGCATGAAGCTATCGTAGTGATTTTTTTAAAAATATATTTTATTGATTTTTTTAGAGAGGAGGAGAGAGGGATAGAGAGGTAAAAACGTTGATGAGAGAGAAACATCGACCAGCTGCCTCTTGCACACCCTCTACCGGGTATGTGCCCACAACCAATGTACATGCCCTTGACCGGAATCGAACCTGGGACCTTTGAGTCCGCAGACCGACACTCTACCACTGAGCCACACCCGTTTCAGCTATCGTAGTGATTTACTCAAATCATGGAAAAAAATATTAGAACACTTATTCTGTCCTAAATATGATGCATTTTTAAAAAGGAGACAGGAACCTCTGTGAGAAGTTAAGGTGCCTCGTCACCCTCCAGTCTGCACTACTCTGCACTCAGTACCACCTCTGTGGACCATGACAGAACACCCAGTTCCATTAACCACTGCGGGACCGACCACATTGTTCTACTCTATTCTCTTACCACCTGGCTCATAGACACATCACAGGGAAAAAGAGGCAAACGTGTCATCAGCAGGAACTTAGATGAAATTAACAACACAGAGAACCTGAAACACTTCACTGATACAGTGCTCCAACCAAGTCTTCAACTGGTCTAGACACCCTGCCAACACCCAACCCTTACCCACAGTGCAACGCTCTGAAAGTGACTAGTGGCTGAACTCGGGATACCCCAGTGTTACTAGAAACAGACCCCAAATCTTGTCTTCTGTCAGGGTGCTTATTACTCAGTCCTACAAACAACCCCACATTCCAATCCCACATTTCACTTTCTTATTCACTCTGGAATGCTTTGATTAATCACAGTGCATCACAGGTTAGTTTTTGAAATACTAAAACCTAGATCATCGAAAAACAAAAACAAAAAACTCATGAATTATGCTAAAACCGGTGTGGCTCAGTGGATAGAGCATCAGTCTACGGACTGAAAAGTCCCAGGTTCGATTCCAGTCAAGGGCATGTACATTGGTTGCGGGCACATCCCCAGTGGGGGTTGTGTAAGGGACAGCTGGTCGATGTTTCTCTCATCATTGATGTTTCTAGCTCTCTATTCCTCTCCCTTTCTCTCTGTAAAAAAAATCAATAAAATACACTTAAAAACACTCCAAAAACTCATGAATTTATGACATAACCATGAAGTATTTAAGTTAACATCATAATATAATCATACTATTGTAAGAAAAATTAAGTAACAGAAAAAAACCTAAAATTATAGTGTTTTTAATATATTTTATTGATTTTTTTACAGAGAGGAAGGGAGAGGCATAGAGTTAGAAACACTGATGAGAGAGAAACATCAATCAGCTGCTTCCTACACACTCCCTACTGGGAATGATTGCAACCAAGGTATATGCCCTTGACCAGAATCAAACCTGGGACCTTTGAGTCCACAGATCAACGATCTATCCACTGAGCCAAACTCAGGATGCAATACTGTGTGTTGTTGTTGTTTTTAATTTCTCCTTTAATCCTTAAATCTATGCTAGAGTTCAATAATATTCAGCTGGTTAATTTTTTAAATATTTTATTGATTTTTTACAGAGAGGGAGAGTTAGAAACATCAATGAGAGAGAAATATTGATCAGCTGCCTCCTGCACACCCTCTACTGGGGATGTGCCCACAACCAAGGTACATGCCCTTGACGGGAATCGAACCTGAGACCTTTCAATCCACAGGCCGACCTCCATTCACTGAGCCAAACCGGTTTCGGCAATTCAGCTGGTTAATTTTATTTATTTATTTATTTATTCCAGCTGGTTAATTTTAACAGCTGGTTATTTTTCTTAAGTTTGCTTCCATTGTATTCTATATTTTTATCAATGGCTGACTCTTCCAATTTAAGTTAGAACAACCCAAAATTCTTTAAGAAGGAGTGAGCAGCAATCTGGGCACCCTCCGTCGGCACTGGTGGCAGAACAGGCCCCCTCAGGTCCACATCCGGATCTGGGAACCTGTGAAAGGGTGGAGCCCCCAGGTAAAGGGGAGTTAAGTTGACAGATGGATTAAGGCTGCTACTCAGCTAACTTTGAAATAGGAAATGATCTTGGATCTGGCTGGGCCCAAGATCATCACAGGTCATTAGGCACGGGAGGGAGGCAGAAGAGTCAGGAGGTCTGACCATGGAGACCGGCCTGGGGGCAGGGCTAGGCTGGAGCCAGGAGGTCTCAGACAGGATGCGGAGGAAGCCTCTGAGCGAAGGAGCCAGGAACACTCTCCCTCGAGCCTCCAGAGGATGCAGCCCTGCCCATCCCTGCCTGAACCAGCAGGGACCACTTCAGACTTGTGTCCTATTAACTGGAAGGCAGTGTGTCGTTTTGAGTCACTGAGCGTGTGGAAAGGTGAAGCAGTGGTGACAGAAACTACACAACATCAAGTATACTGATCTGGCAGGTCTGAGTGTGCAAGTGGCATGTGTGAGCATGTTACACTCAGTCCTACTCACACTCAGGGATGCCCTCCGCTCCCTGAGCACCCTGCAGAGACCACTGCCCTAACATGACCCGGACTCCACAGTCACCACCCAGGCGATTAGAAGGAACAGGTAGAAATCTAGTGAATAATGTAAAATATTTAGCTTTTCCATTTATGCTTCTTCTATAATTTAAGTCACTTATCTCCTGTTCCTCTACTTTACAGCACATGCGCTACATGCCGTGGCTTAAATCTGCTCTCCCTGCCTCTAACAGTCAGCTCGGAAGCCGCCAGGAAAGAGGCACTTCCTCCCACACTGCAGACCCCAGCACCGGGTGGGGGCATGCATCATGCACACCCTGCAAATCGGCTGTGAGTTACTCATTTGGTGCTCTGCACGACCCCCGAAAACAGTTAAAAAATAAGCAATGTCACTGACATAAAGAGACCACCCTCTTTAAAAGGGACTCAACTTTTAAATTAAAGTAAGTTACTTTTCAACTTCAGCCAAGGTGAACTGAGGCATTCATTTACTTACAAATGTGCAGTGAAATTTCACATTCAGCTGGCACCCCCACTGGGCTGCCGGCCCCTCTCCAGCTCAGGGCTGGGAAGCATTGTGAAGAACTGCAGAAGAGTGGAAACCGGTGTGGCTCAGTGGATAGAGCATCGGCCTACGGACTGAAAGGTCCCAGGTTTGATTCCAGTCAAGGGCATGTACCTTGGTTTTGGGCACATTCCCAATAGGGGGTGTCTGGAGGGAGCTAATCGATGTCTCTCTCTCATCGATGTTTCTAACTCTCTATCCCTCTCCCTTTCTCTCTGTAAAAAAAATCAATAAAATATATATATATTTTTTTTTAAATTGCAGGAGAGTGCGTGGGCATCCACTGGAGTGAGTGTGTCCTGAATGTGAATACGCACACGATCCTAATTCTTAAATATTTGATGATGTGGCTGCACGAGTGCAGTGATCAACTCCGGTTTCCTAGTCCCTCGCTGATGCACCCTGGACTGTGTCAGAGGCCTCTGGACAGGGACGGAGCCCCCTCTAAGCTGGGACCAGCTCTACTTCTGAAGTTTCTCCGTAGAGAGCTCAGAAGGCTCAGAAGGATCATCGGAAGAGAGGCTGGACGTGCTCAGCAGGGCCTTTCAAGCACGCCGCGTGGCCAGCACACACAGGAGCGCTGCGCATGTGCTACACACCGGGAGGGGCTTTCGAGTTGTCCACTGGACGGCGATGAAGAACGTCCTCCTGGAGTGCTTCGATCACTGCTGGCCAGTAGTATCTGACACAACTGTGTGGCCAACAGAGACGTTGCCATAACAATGAGTCCCACAACCTGCTCCACTGGAATGCCAGAAACATACATGCCCTTAGATTAACTTCTAAAAATGTCGCACTGCAAAAAAAGAGTCTCTCTGCAGAACGCAATTCAATTCCAGTAAATGGAGAAAAAATGTAACTGGTTTCAATGAGCACGAAGCAGATCTAAAGAGAATAAACAAAAGCTCTCATGAATGGAATTATTTGAAGACTAACTTCAAAAACCATGAAAAGTAATAACCACAGCACAGCAAAGGGAAAGGAGAGGACAAGGAAAGCCTGGGAGGACCACTGAAGCCACGTTTCCACACAAACACGGTGGTTTTCCAAGTTATAAAAACATGACTTATTTTGTCCACAACTGATGTCTTTTGGGAATACATCCTCATCTCATAAGCAAATTACATGAACACGCCAATCGGCTGATTATAAAGGGAGGTTTTGTTTAAGAAAATGAAGGAAGGCTAATATACCAGTACATCCGCATTCTGTTTCCGCACTGTCAAGTGCTCTAAATACGCTGGAAAATAGAGTGAGGTTCTAAAACACAGGCAGGCTTCGTTGTGATTTGCAATAAAAACAGTGGATTCGGTTTTCAGAATAAGTGACACTCAGGATATTAAAATGCTGCTTTTCAAGGTGTGATCTGGTGCTACGACTGGCACTACATCTAGAGCTATTGCACGAATGTGCACTTCTAATTCCACATGGCGGAAGAAGTGGGACTCCGGACCAGCACATCCGTGTGCATAATCCGCACGCACTGGGTAAAAAGGTCAGGATGCCTGTAACATCACACACTGTGGGCCAGAGAGCAGCTACACGCACAGCAGGCAAGCACTGCACGTCGGAAGTCCCAGCACATCTTGGCGCAGTCACTCAGGAGCTGTAGAAAGTAGGTCCATCCTGGTGCTGAGCAGACTCGCTGGAAAGCTCAGGCGTGCTACCCACTTCCCTTTCCCTTTCCAACGCGTACGAATTCAAGGTCAGTCCGATGTAAAACATTGGTGTAAAACCCTGTACAGCTGTCTCCTCAGTGAGTTCAGAACAGCCTGTTTAACAACATTCGATTGGAGCTCCTTCAGGATTTCCCCAAGTTTCTGCACTTTGTCAGAAGGGCCTCCTGGCCAGGGTCACGTCACCTCTGTG